CAGTGCAGGTGCGGTGGGTGAGGGAGGGAGTGAGGGAATCGTTTTTCAAGTGGTGCATGAGGAGGATACGAGTTCTACCATGTGGTGCAGAGTAAGTGAGGGAACGAGTGAGAGAGTAAGAGAGCAAGAAAACTGAAAGAGAGGCTGAGTGAGTGCACAAGGGAAGCTTGTTTTTTCATTTTTATCCCCCTGTTTTTGTTTCATCAGCCATTTGAATTATCTTATTAAGCAATCGTTTTACGACCCCCCCAATTCTCCCCCATCTCCTCCCCTAATCTCTCCTGCATTCAAACCCCCTCTTCCTCCATGATTCACACCAACAGTTGCTCTGCTCACATCTCGCATTGCCTACATGGCCCAGCACCTCCAAACACACAAGAAGGTTAGTCCAAGTCACCCTGTGCCTCATTTTAGAGTAACAATCCCATGATGTTACTTTGTCACTCCACCAACAGTTGCTGTGCTCACCTCTCGCATTGCGTACATGGCACATCTCCAACCCAAACATGGATGCCACGGGATGGATGCAGATAAGATGGGTTTTTTCTCATGAGCTCATGAGTATGCCTTATCTATAAAACACATCAAAATGCTCGTCACCTCTCTCCTCTTCTCCAGGACTTTTGAGGCGCCTCAAAATCGCGGATAAATGCTCATCGCCTCTCTCCTCTTCTCCAGGACTTTTGAGGCGCCTCAAAATCGCGGATAAATGCTCATCGCCTCTCTCCTCTTCTCCAGGACTTTTGAGGCGCCTCAAAATCACGGATAAATGCTCGTCACCTCTCTCCTCTTCTCCAGGACCTGCACTCACGGCGCGGGCCTCGATGAAATGCCGGCGCAGCAGCGCAAGCTGCTCAAATACCTGAGGAGGAGGAGGAAGAACTAGGGCTCGTCCTGCTCTGGCTCTGCTGTGGGACTGGTATATGTGTTTGCTTGCCCCACACCTCCCCTTGTCGCTGCCTCCCCTCCATCAGGACCGGCGCTCACAGCGGGGATTCGATGGCATGCTGGCATACTGGGAGAGGGACTCATACTGGTGTGCGTCTTTCTTTCCCTCACATTCCCTTCCCATTCCCCAACATCTCTCCTCCATCAGGACCTGCACTCGCGGCGCGGGCTGGATGGCATGCTGGCGCGGCGGCGCAAGCTGCTCAAGTATTTGAGGAGGAAGAACTGGGACTCGTACTGCCACGTCATTGCGGAGCTGGGGCTGCGCGACAGAGTGGATCTGCAATCCTAGGTGCATAGGGGCTGGACTGGAACACTCCCTGTTGCCGAAGCAAAAGTTCTGAGGCTCGCGTGGCCCTGTCATTGCCGAGATGGAGCTCCTGCGCCTTAGGGTGAATCTGCTGTCATTTTGTTGTCATCATGCCATGCAAGTTTGCCTCGAGGATGGTACCCATTCGAGGAAGAATCAGGGAGAGTGGATATGCAATTGCCGATGGTTTGTGGTGGCGTAAGGTAAGGCTTAATTGGCTGCAAACACAGGCCTTGCAGAATGTAATGCCCCAAAAAATACCGAGGACTAGAAGGTAGGATGTGCGTCCATTCTATAGTTGAGCTACTTGATTGTAGCTGTATTGCTTCTTGATTAGAAGAAATTTTATCGTACAGCACTGAATCGGTATCGAATCAGATGTTTCAGTTTGCCCTGGACCTAGATTTAGGTTTGTTTGGGGCTTGTTCACTCCCTGAATAAACCCGTGTTCGTTCCCCGTGATTGGCCTCCAACAATTGCGAAAGACCGAGGTGCGTGCTAACGATGAACCGAGGCCCAAACACCCGCTCCGTGCTCACTGCTCAAGGCAAACCTCCTAATCCCTACAGTATGTCATCATAAATCACTTACCCCTAGCCTGCGGGTCCACTTGTGTCCCGTCGCATTCCAACTGGTTCATCCTCCTACCCACCCGCCACGCTCCCACGCACTCCACGCTCCTCCACTTCCGCTCGTTTCGCGCCGTTCTGCACCATTCTGCTACGTCACCAGCAAGCTGCTTGCGCAGGTGTTAGTGATTTCGGTTTGAGCCTTCTCGAATCGAAGCTGCCAGCTCCCACACCTCTCCTCCCATGCATCGCGTGCGCCACTCGCGCTCGTCTCGTCTGCTGCGCCTCGTCGCCCTGCGCCATGCCCCCCGCCTAGCCGCGCCGGAGCGCCAGATCAGGCCCGCCGCGACTGGCGGAGATTGGACGGCGCTCGCACGGGGAGAATCTGCCGACGGGCCGGGAAAAGGTGTTTTCTGGCCGGCAGGTAGCTTCCACCGGCCGTTAGACAGAGCGTACCGATCGGCTCACGACGGCCGCCACCAGTTCGTGATAAGATCCGAGCCGTTAAGTTCGAGCCGCAGCAGAGTTGGGGTCAGATCCGAGCCGTTAAGTTCGAGCCGCAGCAGAGTTGGGGTCAGATCCGAGCCGTCGATCTCTTCCAGGACTGCATTCGTCGATTTTTTCAAACGAGATGTCTTTAGGGTCGCGCGATCTGGATCGGCATGTTCCGCCAGCTGTCATACAGTCAGCCGTTGTGATCTCCACGTAGGACGTTTCGCCGACGCACAGCCGGAGATCCGTGGCCAGGCTGTCAGACAGCCAGGCGTTGTCACGCTGCCCGCCACGTCATCATCACCCGCCCATCTGTACCGCTCTGCACCGCGTCAACCTCCTCTCCCTGGGCTCTCCTTCCGCGCCTGTCGCCGCTCGTCCTCGAGCACCCACGTCCCTTCAGCACCAAGATCGGCGGCAATGACGGCGGCAGTGGCGGCGGTGGTAGCGGCGGCAACGGTGGTCGGCCAATCAGGGATGGTGCACAGACAGGGTCAGACGCAGGATCGGACACGGATTCGGACTCTGGCTCGGATTTAGGCTCGGATTTAGGTTCGGACGACGTGTCGGTGGGCGTGCTGGAGGGGGTGGTGGAGGAGGCGCGGCGGGCGTACGGTGAGAGGCACGAGCTGGTGGCGGGACTCAGGCTGCGGCTGGCGCAGGCGTACCTGGCGCAGGGCAGGGACGCGGGGGAGGTGCTACCTGTGGTGGAAAAGGCGTGGGAGGTGAGCAGGGGGAGGTGCTACCTGTGGTGGAGTGAGCGTGGAAGGTGAGAAAGGTTACTTGAATCGTTTCCGTTGTCGTTCGTCTCTTGTTGCTTTGAACCTTAAACCCTGAGCCCTTGATGCGCATCACCCAAGAACCGGTGCAAGCCATGTGCCTGCATGTCGTGGCTGCATGCTGTGTTCCCTTTGTTGTGTTTCTTCTTGTTTCTTTGAATCCCAAACCCTGAACCCTGTCCCTGTGTGCCCCATCCACCAGGTGTTCAACGATGTTGCCATCGAGGGGACCCAGTGCGAGCCATGTGCCTTCATCTCATGGCCGCATGCCATGCAAGGTGATGATGTGATGGCGAAGTGGCGAGATGGCATGATGGAGTGATGGCATGGTGGCGTGATGACATGCTGGCGATTTGCTGCTGGAAGTGTGAATGACAGAGGGGTGATGATAGTGGCGTCGTTGTGGTAGGCAGCAGGAGCAAGTCTACAGTATTCCTGGTTACAATCTTCTTCTTTCGCCCTGCTCATATCACCAAGTGCAGTGTGCCCCCACCCCTTTCACCTCCCTGCTTCCTCCTTCCCTACAGGACCACCCAGAGGGTTGTATATCTCTCCTCATGCACTGTGGGGCCTCTGTTCGCGTCTACTGCTGCTCGTCTCTTAACCCGGCCCTCCTTCCTGCTTTCCCCACCACCCCTCCCCTCTCCCCTTCCCTCCACCCTCCCCTCCCCCTTCCCTCGCCCCCCCTTCCTCTTCCCCCGCCCCCCCTGCGCCTACAGGCTCGGCGACCCAGAGGAGTGCCTCTCGCTCCTTGTACAGTGTGAGGCGGCGTTGGAAGCAGCCAAGAAGCTTCAGAGCCTTGCACGGGAGCAAGAACGGACTGGAAGGGCACAGGAGATGGGGCCAGGGGGAGGGGCGAGTGGAGGTTTGGAGAGTGGAGGATTGGAGAGTGGAAGAAAAGAGAATGGGAGAAAAGAGGGTGTTGATGGGGGAGAGGAGGAGGAAGCAGCAGCAATAGCGGCACAAGGGGCGGCAGATGCGATTCATATGGTGGGGTTTGCCATGCACATGCTCAGAGCTGACGTCAGCAGTGCCACGGGGGACATGGAATCTGCAATGAGGGCATACAGGTGAGGACCAGGTGAGGTACAACTTCAGCAACAAACCAGTTACCAGGTGAAGACGAGCTGCTGACCATCTGCTTGCAAGATGGGATGCGGTTGAGTCGACTCAAAAGTCATCTCGGTTGCATTGTGCTATCCACTCAAGAACAATCGCATTACCCCCTCTCAGTCTAGTCTTAGCAGGTCGTGGAATGGCGGCCAACAACCAGTTAACTGCTCCCTGTCCTCTCGTGTCCAGGACCGCTCTATCATTGCAGGAGGCGGCACTGCACTGGGTGCAGGCGACCCACGGGTAGCGGACGCATTGCAGCACACAGGGGCGGAGTGTGCCCAGCCCGTGTGTCATAGGCGGGCCCGTGTGTCATAGGCGGGCCCGTGTGTCATAGGCGGGCCCGTGTGTCATCGGCGGGCCCGTGCGACACGACACATGTTTGGACCATGCCCATGGCAGGCCTACGCTCTCAGCCAGCTTAACCCCTTTCCTCTCTCCTCTTCCGAACCCCTCTCCTCGCTCTTCTTCCGAATCCCCTTCCAGGACCGCTCTACAGCTGCAGGAGGAGGCACTGGGTGCAGACGACCCACGAGTAGCAGACGCATTGCAGCACGTGGGGAGGAGTGTGCGCGGCACATGCAGCTAGACGACGCCCATGACATGGCGACAAGAGCCCTGCAGCTGCATGAGGCGCACAGGAGGAAGGTGGAGGAGAGGATGGGAGGGGGAGGGGAGTGGGGGGAGGGGAGAGGTGGGGAGGGGAGAGGTGGGAGGGGAGAGTGGGGAGAGAGGGATGGAAGGGAGGAGTTAAGGGAGAGAGTGAGGGAGGAGTTGGAGGGGAGGGGAGGGAGGAGGTGAGGAGGGAATATGAGGAGGCTGTTATGAAGGAGGTGGCAGACCACCGGTGAGTTGGCGCTGCATGATTGGTTGAGATTATTATTTGGTTGCGCTCCAGGCCGTCAGGATCTTCTAGATTTTACCTTGCGTGCATATTACATGACTTGGCTTGTCTTTTATCCAGACTAGACAGATCATCTCATGTGAGTCTTCGTCTCCTCGCTCCCCTTTCCTCGCTCCCCATCTCAAGTGAGTCTTTCATCTCATGTGAGTCTTTCATCTCATGTGAGTCTTTCATCTCATGTGAGTCTTTCATCTCATGTGAGTCTTTCATCTCATGTGAGTCTTTCATCTCATGTGAGTCTTTCATCTCATGTGGGTCTTTCATCTCATGTGAGTCTTTCATCTCATGTGAGTCTTTCATCTCATGTGAGTCTTTCATCTCATGTGGGTCTTTCATCTCATGTGAGTCTTTCATCTCATGTGAGTCTTTCATCTCATGTGAGTCTTTCATCTCATGTGGGTCTTTCATCTCATGTGGGTCTTTCATCTCATGTGAGTCTTTCATCTCATGTGAGTCTTTCATCTCATGTGAGTCTTTCATCTCATGTGAGTCTTTCATCTCATGTGAGTCTTTCATCTCATGTGAGTCTTTCATCTCATGTGAGTCTTTCATCATGTGAGTTTCTCATGTGAGTCTTTCATCTCATGTGAGTCTTTCATCTCATGTGAGTCTTTCATCTCATGTGAGTCTTTCATCTCATGTGAGTCTTTCATCTCATGTGAGTCTTTCATCTCATGTGAGTCTTTCATCTCATGTGAGTCTTTCATCTCATGTGAGTCTTTCATCTCATGTGAGTCTTTCATCTCATGTGAGTCTTTCATCTCATGTGAGTCTTTCATCTCATGTGAGTCTTTCATCTCATGGGAGTCTTTCATCTCATGTGAGTCTTTCATCTCATGTGAGTCTTTCTCTCCTCTCGGGCCCCTCCTTGCCTCCCTTCCCTGTCAGCTAGCAGCCGTGTATGCAGGTGTTGTCAGCCAGGGCATCTATTTTGGAGGGCAACAGCACCTCCAAGCTACCTTCACCGATTCCCACCCCCTTCCCTCTTCCATGCTTCCCCCGTGCTCCGGCTCCCCTTTTCTAGACTCCTAGCAGCAGTGTATGCGGGTCGGGGCGACGCCTCTCCGGCCGTCCACCACCTGTCAGCAGCAGCCGCCCTTCTCTCTTCCCTCCTCTCCTCCCTCCCCTCCGCCCTCCCTCTCCCCCCTGGACCTCGCCTCTGTGCACCTCGCCACTGTCGACATCATCCTTCACTCGGGGCTCCTGCAAGGGGGGGAGAGTGGGGAGGGAGAGGCGGAAGTTGATAGCAAAGAGAAAATGAACAGGGAAGAGGGAGGGGAAGGCGGAGGGGAAGCGGGGAGAGAAGGGAGAGGAAGGAAGGGGAGAGGAAGGAGGGGGGGAGGAGGCGGTGGACATGGCGGTGTTGGCGCTGGAGGCGTTGAGGGAGAGCGCTGCGGTGCAGGAGGGGGAGCTTGGGAAGGAACACCCTGCCGTGGCGAGGACGCATGCGCTGGCTGCTGACGTGTACTGGCAGATAGGGCAGGCGGAGGAAGCTGAGGTGAGAAACGAGGGGTTGTGGACGAGGCTCAGGTGAGGATTGAGGGCTTATGGACGACAAAACCAAGGGATTGGCAACAAGGGATTGGCAACATGTGTGCACTGGCTGCCTCAGAGGAACTTAGGTGAGATGAAGGTTTGCTTTTGAGCTGGCTTAAAGCAGGTGAGAGTCTGGGTGCGAAAGAAAGAAACCCGCAGTTTGCCACGGTCACGCATGCTGTGGCTGGTGGCAGCAGCCTTTCCTTCACGTTCACTCATCTTTTTGCCCCCTTTCCCAATGATTTTGAGACGTCTCAAATCCAACCTTATATCACGTGATCTTTTTGCCCCCTTTCCCAATGATTCCCACCAGAAGTCCTTGATTTTGCAGGGTGTTTTTGAGAATTCTCAAAAACACCCTGCAATCCCTGCTCTCCCACCAGTTCCTGTTCATAACACTCTCATTCTTTCTTCCACTTCGCCCCCTCCATCCACGCTAAGCACGGGTGCTAGCAGCCGTGCCAGCGCCTCACGAGCGCAGTGAGGAGACAGCACCTCTGCTCTCTCCTGCCGCTTCTGTTGCCGTTGATTTCTCGAGCGATACTCTGCTCTCTGCTCTCTCTGCTCTCTCTGCTCTCTCTGCTCTCTCTGCTCTCTCTGCTCTCTCTGCTCTCTCTGCTCTCTTCCATCACTGCTGCTTCGCATCACTCTCCCCACCTTGGTCCACTTCACCCCCTTCTTCTCACACCAGGCAGTGAGCAAGAGGGCGATGAAGGTGCTAGCAGCCATGCCAGCAGTTCATCAGCGGAGCGATGAGGCGGCAGCAGCTCTCTCCCACGTGGCACTGCACCTAAAGCGCACTGGGCGGAGTGAAATGGCCGTGGCTCCTTTGCAGAGGGCGCTGAGCATCAGAAAGGAGCATCCCGACCACCTGCTGCAGGCCGTGGGTGAGTGGGAGGGAGGGGGAGCACCCTGTGGCAGTTGAACTTATAAGCCACCTCCCTTGCAGTAGGCCCTCAGTATAAGGAGAGAGCACCTTTCACTCTTGCTGCAGGCCATGGTCAAGTGGGAGGGAGGAGGGGAAAGGAGGATCGAATCGTGGGAGGGGAAAAGGGACGCCTCAAGGCACACTCACTTGCAGTGGGCGCTCAAAGATAAGGAAAAAGCCGTGGGTGCAGGCTGTGGATGAGTGGAAGGGAGACGTGTGTTGTGGGCTGAGTGGGGAAGCAGGAGATGTTCTGGGGGGTGGGCAGAGAACAGTTTTGACGGTGCCCTTAAATAGAACATTGTTTTTGCTCTCTTCCATCCCCGCTCCCCTCCTCTCCCCTACCCGTTTCTCCATCCCCTCTCCCCCGTCCCAGGCACGGCAACGGACCTCGCCTCTCTTCTCCTCTCCCTCAAGCGCCCGAACGAAGCCCTCCCTATCCTCCTCTCCGCCCTGCCCTCCCTCCGTTCCTTCCTCGGCCCCTCCCACGTGGCCTCCCTCCCCCTCCTCTCCCTCCTCTCCGCTGCCCACTCCTCTCTGGACCAATGGGGGGATGCCGCTGGGGTGGTGGGGAGATGTGGGAGGTGGTGCGGGGGGAGGGGATGGAGGCGGTGATGGCGGATGCCATGAGGGCGATGAGGCAGCCATTGGCATGTGGATTCCCCTGGCTGACGCTCTTGGCAGTGAGGAAAGGTGAGAAGTAGTGAGAGAAAACTAGAGCGGTGGGGGAGATGTGGGACGTGGTGTGGGGGGAGAGGGATGGAAAGGGTTATGGTAGATGCTGTGAGGGGAGATGAGTCTGCTTTTGAGTCGACTCAAGAGCATGGAAGGGGTTATGGTAGATGCTATGAGGGGCGATGAGGCAGCAATTGCCATGTGGATACCGCTGGCTGATGCCTTGGGGAGTGAGGAATGGTGAGAAAGGGGAATTAGGAGAGGGGAGCCGGGACAATAAGGGGAGGTGAAAACCAGATCGGGCAAGGACAGTTGAAAGAAGGGAAGTGCCTCTGACTCATGGTCCGGCAGAGTTGGTCAAAGCTGTGTTTATGGATTGGGAAAGCGATAAGGTGGCCATTGGTATGTGGATGCTTTTGAGACGTCTCAAAACCAATCTTATATCATTGGTATGTGGATGCTTTTGAGACTTCTCAAAACCAACCTTATCTCATTGGTATGTGGATGCTTTTGAGACGTCTCAAAACCAACCTCATATCATTGGTATGTGGATGCTTTTGAGACGTCTCAAAACCAACCTTATATCATTGGTATGTGGATGGCCCTGGCTGATGCCCGGGGAAGTGAGGGCAGTGAGGAAGGGCAGTGAGGAGAGGTTAGGGAGGGGATTATGTTTTGGGGTTTAGGGTACTGAGCGCGCTATGAAGACTGTTGGGGTGGCAGTTGGCATGTGGTTCCTGCTGTCCGGTGGTTGGCATGTGGTTCCTGCTGTCCGGTGGTTTGGAGAGTGAGGAGAGTTAGGAGAGGTGAGGAAAGGGAGTGAGGACAGGTGAGAAAGCTGATTTGGGGAGGGAGCTGTGTGCACAGGGCAGTGGATCAGACCACAGCTGATTTGGGGAGGGAGCTGTGCGCACAGGGCAGTGGATCAGACCACCATTCTTTTCCAGTAGACTTTCATGATTCTGTATGTCCATGTCCCTCAGGTTCCGCCTGTTGCATCAGGCAGTGGAGCAACAGGCAGTGGAGCAACATGCAGTGGATCAAGCGCTAAAGGCGAGGAGGCAGGGGGGAGGCAGCGGCGAGGGCTCGGTGGCTGGAGGTGCTGAGGGAGATGGCAATTATCAATAGCGGCTGATTCTCCACTTGAAGAATACTGTATGCTATGCAGTCCTACTAAAAAAATCACAGTGAAAATTGTGTCGGCACTCGTGTGGTCATATCAGTAGGAAGAGTGGCGTTGCCGTTGCTTAAGTTGAGCGCAATATGCAATTTACAGGACAGATAGCCAAGCACTGATCCATGAGTGATTCGAATATTGCATCACATGGCATCCACTTGCCATCAACCTATGGCTCCAGTAGCTTCGGGTTCGGATCTCCCACCACTGGTGATGACGATGATGGTGACGATGCCTCTCCCATCACGGCTATCAGTCCTCTCCAAAATCCGTCCCCCTGATCCTCCTGCTGCCACTGAACCTCCTGCCAGCCACCCTTGCTTATGACGATGCTGCTGCTGCTGCTGCTGCTGCTGCTGGCAATGCTGATGATCCACCGTCCACCATCGCAGCTACCAGTCCTCCTCACCAAAATCCATGGCCCTGATCCGCCTGCCGCCTCTAGACCTCCCACCGCCCGCCACTGCGGACGACGACGCTGGCCCGTCATCCACCCCTCCAAGGCGGGTGGGAACGGTGGGGGAGAGGACGGGCGATGGTGCGGGGCAAGGGGGCGCGGGGAGAATAAGGCGGAAGGGCTAGTGTCACCCCCACCACCAGCACCAGCAGCATCACCAGAGAAAGGGTCTAAGGTAGCGTCAGCAGCAGAGCCAGTGAAGGGGTTGTCTCTCGGAGGCGGTGGTGGGGCCGTGGGAGTGGAAGGTGGCGAACTCCTGCCAGTGCAGGTGCTGCTCCGTCTGCCGCCACTTGAGGATGGCGTAGAGCGTTCCCAAAGCCATGGGGAGGATGGCGATGATGATGATGGCGGTGAGGAGCAGGAGGTCTGAAGGAGGGTGTGGGGGGGGGGGGGGGGGTGTGGGTGGTTTGGGGGGAGTGGTGGCGGGTAAGGAGAGTGCAGGGAATGCTTGGGTGAGGGAAGCTCCTGCCAATGCAGGTGTTGCTCCAACTGCTGCCACTTGAGGATGGCGTAGAGAGTACCCAGCGCCATGGGGAAGGTTGCACCCTAAGGAAGGAAAGCCATGGGGAACATTGCACTCTAACGAGGATAATGATAGTCAGGAGAAGGAGGTCTGGGGAGAGGGCGCGGACGGGGGGGTGTAAAAAACAGAGCTGGAGTAGAGAGTTCCGGAAGGCATACGCAGGATTGCAGTAGTACGAAGGTCGCCATGATGGCGCTCAAGAGGAAAGGTCTCTCAAAGGGAGGGGATGCGACGTGAGAAGCAAGATAGGGGTTGAGAAAACGAGGCTGGGATTCAATGGTGCGAGCAGGGAAGGCTGGGTTGAGGTTGGGATTGGCGTGCGAAGGGAAGCTCCTGCCAGAGCAGGCGGTATGGACGAGAGTGGGGTTGGGAAAGAAGGTGGTGCGGTGCGGTGACCATCATCAAGAGTGCCCAGAGCAGAGCCGTGGATTAGCGTGGGGGAAGATTGTGACGGAAGTCTAGTTTTGAGGCGCCTCAAAACTGGAAGATTGTGACGGTGCTGATGACGATGCGCAGGAGGAGGGTGGGGAATGGGGACGGAATGGAACGTGGGGGGTTTGGTGGAAGGAATATGACAGCCATGAGTGGATTGCTGTGTTCTGCTGTGCGCTACATTATGCACAGATGATGCACGAACCGTGAGCTATGAGCAACTTCGCAGCACCTGGCAGTCTCTAGTAACAATTCCACCTTCCTCCCACCTTTCCCTTCCACCTCCCCACTCCAACCCTCAACTCCAATCCAACCCTCAGCATTATGTCTCCAATCGCATATCTTCCCTCCACCCACTCACCTGCCAGGCCTCGCTTCCTCGGTGGCGCAACAAACACGCCCAGAACTCCAGGCGCAAATGCCAGGCAGTCACGAGAATCTGAGGAGTGAGGGAGGGAGGGGGAAGAAGGGGAAGGGGGTGTATCAGCGTGTTAAGGAAGGGGGGTGCAGCGGGGCAAAAAACGCGCTCAGCACTCCTGGCGCAGATGCCAGGCAGTCATTAGAATCTGGGGGCGTTGATGGTGAGGTGGGGGAAGAGGGGGAAGAGTGGAATAGACGGACATGTCCACCAGCGGCTAGACAGTCACTCTCTTGAGTCTCTTGGCGCAGGTGCCACACAGTCACGAGAACCTGAGGAGGGAATCAATGTGGGCGGAAGGGGGGAGTTTAGGGGGGGGGGGGGGGGGGGGGGGGGGAAGAGGGGAACTGGGTGTTTGAGTGTGTTGGAGCGAGGCGAGGTGGAGTAGAGTGCCATGTCCGGCACTCCTGATGCAGATGCCAGGCTGGCATGAGAACACAAAGAGCCCCTGACAGACCACTCATGGCGGCACTGAAAACCAAACAGAACGAGCCCCTGAAAAAACACTCACGGAGGTATTTGAGGGCCGTCGCAGGGAAGTCAGAGAAGAGCCCATCCACTCCCACTGTGTCAACGAACATGGCGTACTCGTTGAGAGGGTCCTGGGACAAATGAAGGGTGGAGATTAGTTTTGAGGCGCCTCAAAACATGGCGTACTCGTTGAGAGGGTCCTGGGACAAATGAAGGGCGGGGAGAAGGGATGCAAGGATGGGACGAGATGGGATGGGAGGAAGGATGCAGGGAGGAACAAAAGCGCCCTTCCACCCCCACCGCCTCCACAACCATGGCGTACTCGTTGAGAGAGGGTCCTGGGAGAGGGGTGGGAGGGATGGATGGGAGGATGGAGGGAAGGATGGAGGGATGGATGGAAGGATGGATGGAAGGATGGAGGGAAGGGAGGATGGAGGGAAGGGAGGATGGAGGGAAGGGAGGATGGAGGGAAGGGAGGATGGAGGGAAGGGAGGATGGAGGGAAGGGAGGATGGGTGGGAGGATGGATGGGAGGATGGAAGGGAGGATGGAAGGGAGGATGGAAGGGAGGATGGAAGGGAGGATGGAAGGGAGGATGGAAGGGAGGATGGAAGGGAGGATGGAAGGGAGGATGGATGGGAGGATGGATGGGAGGATGGATGGGAGGATGGATGGGAGGATGGATGGGAGGATGGAAGGACAAGAGCTGAAAGGCGGAATGGAAGAGTCCAGCCACTCGCACCGCCTCCACAAAAACAGCAGCGTATTTGTTCAGCGGGTCCCAGGGAGAGGCGTGCACCAAGGGTGGGACAGTCGTTGGTGAACGGCCAGGGCAGCACGGCTACCAGGCGGGTCGGATGGTGGGCGAGAGAGACGGGGTCTGGCTGGATGAGAGAGGGGGCACTCATGAGCTCCAAGCTAAGGGGGAGGAGCATCCAGTCGTTGACAAACTGCCAGGGCAGCACAGGAGAACTCCAAAGCTCGTAGGAGGTTGAGAGAGGGAGGGAGTGCTTACCAACTCGTAGCTGAGGGAGAGGAAGATCCAGTCGTTTGCAAAGGTCCAGGGCAAGACTGCAAGCTGGCGAGAGGGGTGGTGCGCCAAGGCCATGAGGTCTGTCTGGTTGAGCAGCTTCTTGTGCCATGCCTCCACCGGCAGCACCAGGCGCTTCTCCGGGGCGATTGCCACCGCATAGAGGGCGACAGCATCCAGAATGCAGGTGCGGAGAGAGGTGGTGGGTGGGCAGGAGGAGGGAGGGGCCTGCATAATGGGGTTTGTGTCTGATGGCTGGGGAAACGGGGAGGAAGGGGGAGGGGGGAGAGGAAGAGAAGGAGGTGGTGTGAGAGAGAGGATAAGGTGCTAGTGAGCGCCATGCAGCTGCATGAAGGGGATGGTTGAGCAGCTTCTTGCGCCAAGGAGGTGATGAGAAGGGAGTATGAAAGCGGTTTGGTTGAGCAGTTTCTTGTGCCACGCCTCCACCGGCAGCACCAGGAGCGCGCAGGGGGGTGGTGGGTGGGCAGGAGGAGGGAGGGACCTGCAGGACGGGGTTGGTGTCTGATGGCTGGGAAAAAAGGGGGGATTTTTTAGTCGACTCAAAAATCACGGACGGGGTTGGTATCTGATGGCTGGAAAAAAAGGGGGGAGGGGGACGGGGAAAGGGAGGGAACGGAGATTGCTGGGATGCGGCCCAGCCCAGGTTCAAAGGGCGTGGTGGTGTTAATGTGGGTGGCTGGAGGGGTGACGGGGAGGGAAAGGGGGGGATACGTTCAGCTGGGTTAGGGTTGGAGATTAAGGGGGGTAGTTGGGGTGGTGGAGGGCATGGGTTCTCACTCACCTCATCCCACCCCTCCTCATCTCATCGTGCCCCTCCTCACCTCGTCCCACCCCTCCTCACCTCATCCCGCCCCTCCTCACCTCGTCCCACCCCTCCTCACCTCATCCCGCCCCTCCTCACCTCATCCCACCCCTCCTCACCTCATCGCGCCCCTCCTCACCTCATCCCGCCCCTCCTCACCTCATCCCACCCCTCCTCACCTCGTCCCACCCCTCCTCCAGTATCTGCACGAGGGGAATCGAGGTGCGCTGGCTGCAGTAGATCAGGGCAGCAGCGCTCCTCGCCTCTATTACCACCGGGTGCACTGCTGGATCCAGAACGATACGCCCCCCAGCTGTAGCACCGGCCGTAGCAGCAGCTGTCGCACCACCAGCTGTAGCACCGGCTGTAGCAGCAGCCTTGAGGCTTGCTAGACTGTCAGCCAGTGAGAGAGAGGAGGAAGAAAGGCTGGAGGAAGGGTTGAGGGCGGTGAAGGGGTTGGAGGGGCGGGGCGGAGGCTGCAGGTTGTTGGCGCTGAGGAGTTCCAGCAGCTGCTCGAGGAGAGGGCAGCCAATAGACGCATGGAAGTCGGGGTGCTGTGGGTGACGGGGTGCAAGGTAAGAGATGGTGGAGAGTGGGGAAGAGGGAGGAGGGGGAGGGTGGGGGAGGGGGGGGACGAGGGGGGTAAGTCAACACAATAGTCACAGGGCAATGGCTGCAGGTTGTTGGCGCTGAGGAGGTCTAGCAGCTGCTCGAGCAGAGGGCAGCCAATAGAGGCATGGAGCCGGGGTGCTGCAGAAGTGCTGCAAGCGCAGGGGAAGAGAGGGGATGGTAGAGAGAGAGGACTTATGAGTCAGACTGAAAGCTTCGCCAGGTTGCAGGCTGCAAGCTATTGGCGCTGAGGAGGTCCAGCAGCTGCTCGAGCAGAGGGCAGCCAATAGAGGCATGGAGCCGGGGTGCTGCAGAAGTGCTGCAAGCGCAGGGGAAGAGAGGGATGGTAGAGAGAGAGGACTTATGAGTCAGACTGAAAGCTTCGCCAGGTTGCAGGCTGCAAGCTATTGGCGCTGAGGAGGTCCAGCAGCTGCTCGAGCAGAGGGCCGCCAATAGTGGCGTTGAAGTCAGGGTGCTGTGGGGAAGGAGCAGTGGGCAAGAGGGGCAGAAGGGTTTTTTTACAACAGCGCAACACACCACTTACTTGACCTGCCCTCTCACCCTTACTCCCAACGCCTGCCCCATGACACCCCAGCTCCTTGCCATAAATTAACAAGTTGAGGCATCCACCCCCTCACTGTAGCTTCAAGCAAGAAAACCCTGACATCCCCTCTTAACTCCTTTCTCTTAACTCCTATCAACTCCTCTCCGCTATTAACTCATATTAACTCATATCAACTCATCTTAACTCCTTCCACTTAACTACTCCTCTTAACTCCTCCCCCTGTTCACTCCTCCCAGTCAACTCCCCATCACCCACTCTTGGTTCCAGCATCAACCCCACGGGTCGGTTGCCTCTGGCAGCAAGCAGCGAGGGGCTGTGGTTGGCGGAGAGCACGAGGGCGAGCACAGCAGCGAGGGTGGAGATGGGCAGAGGCAGAGGGGTTGTTTGTGACGACTCAAGGCGCACCCTTTTGCTCACACGGCAACTCACTCTTGGCTCTAGGATGAGCCCCACAGGGCGGTTGCCTCTAGCGGCGAGCAGTGACGGGCTCTGGTTGGCGGAGAGCACTAGAGCGAGCACAGCAGCGAGCGTGGGGATGGGCAGGCGGCCGTGCAGCGTCTTGTCTCGCCACTGGTAGCGCTGCTCCACTGCTCTGCAGGCAACGGAGGGGAGGGACGGGAGGGAGGGGAGGGAAGGGCGGGAGGGGGAGAGGTTTGGACACATGTGTTTGGACGTGTCTTGAGATGCCTCATATTGCTCTCCTGTCTTGCCACTGGTAGCGCTGCTCCACTGCTCTGCAGCGAAGGGAGCTGGGAGAGGAGAGAGATGGGAGAGATGAGTTTCAGTTCTTCTTTCTCCTACCCTTGGTGGCGAGAGAGAGGAGAGAGAGAGCGAGAGAGAGAGAGAGCCTAAGTCCCTTTCTCTCTATTTAAGGCCCTTCCCTGCCTCATTTCCCTTGTTTAGTTTTCAGTTCTTCTTTCTCCTACCCTTGGTGGCGGCTCGCGTCGGCGGCCGAAGTGTGGCGGCTGGGACCGGTATCTCCGCAGGAGCTGCCGCCGGCGGCCCCTCCGTCGGCGGGTTCCTTCGCGTCGCCACCCCGGCCTCGCGAACACGACGGGGAGACCCCTCCCGTGGTGACTCTGCGCCCCCCGTCTCCGCTGCTTCTGCCCCCGCCTCTACACCCCGTGGGGATGGCGCCCGCCGCCGAGGGGGAACAAACGGACCGACCACACCCCCTCCGCGGTAGAGCCCCACCTGGGGACCAACCCACTCCGCCGCCCCAGCCCAGGACGAGGGGGGATGCCACTCAGGGAGAGTATCAGCGGATGACGCGGGCCCGCCTATCCGGGGCGCTGGCTGGGACCGATGGTGCAGGTCGTAGTACCGGGGGGGGACAGGACCGGAGCGTACGGGGCGGTGGGTGCGCGGCGGGGTGCAGGAGAATATACGGGTCTGCAGGCGCCAAATGCTGTCGCGGAGGGGCCGGCGCAGATGGGAGCGGAGCCGCCGGGGCGGCGACGGGACTTGCAGGCCCGACCGCTCCCATCCATGCGCCATCGCGGGACGGGGTGGCGCAGGCCGCAGCTGAGGGGGAGACGCCCCAACGTGAGCAGGATGGTCGGGGAGGGACGGTGGAAGGACTCGAGGAGGAAATGGAGGCTGCGTGTGATGGGGGGCCTGATGGGGGGGCTCCCGCTGCAGCGGCGATGGGAGCAGCCCAGCGCCGGCCCGCTCGAGTATCCCCTCCAGCGTTGCGGCAGTCCGCGCCAGCCGCCTCTCCAGTGCGCTCCCCCTCCGCCCCCGACGCGTGCCAGCACGCCCCGAGGGGCCGTTTGGTGCACGCTGCTGTTGCGGAAAGGGCCGAGACGGCAGCACAGGGGGGGGGCGCGGGCCCGCCGCACGCGATTCAGCAGGCGGCGACATTACAGCAGGAGGATGCAGGCGGACGCCTGCGCCCGCCACCACAGCCCGCCCTTCCAGCCGAGGCGGCGTCGCCGCCCGCACCCGACTGGGGGACGCCGGCGCGCTCGTGGACGGCACTGGGAGCCCGCGCGCCCACCTTCGGTCCGACATGGGAGGGGAGCTCGACCGACCTCGGGGGAGGACGTTTTCCCCCGAACTCTCGCGACCGACGGAGCGCTCTCTTCGAGCACGATCAGCCCGGTCGGCCATCCGACTCGCCGATGAGCCACAGAGCGGGCACCGCGAGGCAGCGGGGCGATCGTCCGCCTACCCCACGCTCCACACCACGGGGCAGCGCCACGCGGAGGGGACGCGGCGGAGGCAGGGAGGGCGGAACCAGGGGCCGAGGTCGCGGCGGGCGCGGGAGCGAACGCGTATGGGCAGGCGACTTGGCACGTGACGGCGGCCCGCTGAACGGCTTCCAGCAAGCAGCGAATCGGGCTTTAAGGGAGATGGGATTACGGGAGGCAACTGATGAGGAAGAGAGAAGAGACGTTACTTATATCCACGAACCGCATGCGGAATCTACCACCGACGAATCTAGTAGCGCACTAGGGGAAAGGGCACCGAGGCGGGTGGGGAGAGAGATTCGAAACCCCTCACCCGGATCCAGGGGCCACGGACATATGGGATCACCAGCCGCCCGCCCGCTGGACAGTCCCTCCCAGGCAGCCAGGCAACTATCCCCGGAAGAACTGGCCCACGATGCCTCACGATTTGCCCAACTGGCCAGCTGGGACATCGCGGTGCTGTGCGACAGCCGCCAACCCCCTCTTTCAAGACATTACCCCCCCCTATTCGCCAGCTTTTCGCGCTGGCTCTGCTGACGCCCCTCCTTTTCCTCACGAAAAATCCAACTTCAATTGGGGGCTGGCAGTTGTTACTTTTTCTCCCCCGCCTAACTCTTCGCATGTCATCGCCCAAACGTCCGGATTGGCCAGCGATGGAATCTCGTCTGCGGCAGTTCCTCGCAGGCCAGTGGGATGCCCTCTACCAGTCAGCAGTAGCGGCTGTCACACTGCCTGCGCCCCCTCGCCATGTTCGTGACGACCTCGGGAAAATCTCCCGAGCCGAGGGGCTGGTGCGACGAGGCAGCCTTCGCCGCGCCCTACAGGCACTCCAGTCAACCCCAGTCAGCGAGTCAACCCCGGAGGTTCTTGACTCGCTGAAGTCCAAACACCCGCGACCGTTGACAGAGGCCCTTGCGTGGCCCTCACTGGACGACGTCACCCCGCCGACGCTGGACTTCGCTGATTTCACTCGCCTACTTTCGCGAAGCGAAAACGGGGTGGGGGCCGGCCCTTCGGGGATGACTTTCGAACACCTGAGAGACGCCTCGCTCACTAATCCGCACGTCGCCAAGCTCCTGCACGAAATTGTGCAGCTGCTCCTTGCTGGTAACCTGCCCCAGGAGGTCAGCACGCTGTTAACGGCGTCACGCCTGCTAGCCCTTCGCAAACCTGATGGCGGAACACGCCCCATCGCCATAGGTGAATGTCTCCACCGTCTTACTGCCAAATCCGCCCTCATCTCGACAACTCAGCCCGCACAAGAATACTTTCTCCCCCTTCAGTTCGGCGTCGCAATTCGGAGCGGCGGAGAAGTAGTCATCCACGCCACTCGGGCTTTCACCTCCGTACATACCGGCTCCGTCATTGTCCAAGTGGACCTCGCAAACGGTTTTAACAGCGTTGAGCGAGGGGCGATAATCACCGCCATCGACGCCTCGCCCCTACGTCCGCTGTTACCGTTTATCCGTTTTTCGTACGGTACCCCATCGCTTCTGTACCTCGACGACGGGTTTGCCAGCCCTCCACTCCGGAGTGCACGGGGCGTCCGACAAGGGGACCCCATGGGCCCTTTGCTCTTCGCTGCAGCTATCCACCCCGCGCTCCAATCGACAGCCACCGCCCACTCAGATGTCCTCTGTCTAGCCTACGCGGATGACGTGACGTTCGTGGGTGCACCGGCCGCCTGCGCAGCGGCCTTCCACCACTTCACGGGCGCCATGGGGGCCATCGGCCTTACGCACAACCCCTCGAAATGCGGGGCGTGGTCCCCAACTCCTCCCCCACCCGACGCCCTTCCCCCGGACGTCCCTTTCCACAGCGAGGGACTGCGGGTGCTGGGGAGTTTTGTCGGGACAGCGGAGGGCTCAGCTGCTTTCCTCCGTTCCCAGCTGGCCTCGCTGGCTGAGCCACTCCCCACCATCGCAACCATGGACCCCCAAACGGCCTCTCTCCTCCTTACGCGCTGCATCTCGCGGCGGGTCAGCTACCTGACCCGCACCACGCCGCTGGATTTCCTCCCACAACCCGAGTGGACGGAGTGGGGACGGGGGCTTTTCCACACCCTCCTCGGCGCATGCAACCTCCAACTCCCTCGAGGGGAAGCCGAACGCATGCGCACCTGGGCCCAGGCCTCACTTCCGCCATCGCTCGGAGGGCTAGGCCTCTCCGACCCCGCCATTGAAGGCCCTGCAGCCTTCCTGACCAGCGTCACCCAGGCGCAGCACCTCCTCGCCGCCCTGCCAGCGGCAGCAGCAGGGCCCCTGGCGTCCGCACTGCGCCCCCTCACCCCCCCCTTCTCTGGCCCCAACCATCTCCATACCTGGCTGGCAGGGTGTGAGGCGGCCCTGCCGACCCATGCACTAAAGCTCCTGCGCTCCGAACGCGAGGAGCCATCCGGAACCCCACTCCAGCACCGACTCTCCCTTGAAGTCCACGCCGCCCGATATGCGGACCAAGTGGCGGCGTCCCGCGGGATGGAGCTGAACCCCATTTCCGGCCACACACAGCGCCTGTTCTCTCTGGCGGGCTACGGGGCAGGGGATTGGATCCACGCCGTCCCCATATTCCCTTCTCTCCGCCTTGAACCTCCGCACTTTGCCATCGCCCTTGCCTTCCGTCTCGGCCTCCCTTTCCCGGCCCCACTCACTTGCAACTGCGCCGACGGGACCGAGATACTTGACCCCCGGCTGCCCAACCACCTCTTCCGCTGCGGCACGGGGCATGGCCGGACAGACACCCACAATGCACTTCGCGACGAATGCATCCGTATGGCGCGGGATGCCGGGTTCATCGTCACCAAGGAGACCGCTATCTACAGTCCGGTGGACAGCCATAAGGCCGACCTAGCCATGCGCGACAGAGACTCGGGCGCCGTCTGGATCTGTGACGTCACTGTCACGGATCCCATCAGCACCCGGGACCCACACGCTCGTAAGGGGCGGGGATATATGGCCCGGGAGCAAGCCGACAAAAAGATTGACCATTACCGTAACCGCGCACCTTATGTCGGTTTCTTCCCCCTGGCCGTGGAGACCTATGGCTGCCCCTGCGCCGAGGTCCCCACCTTTTTGAAGCTGCTGGCAAACACAGGGGCCAGGAGACTCTTCAATGCGGACCCCAGTTCCTACCAGGCAGCAAAACTGCTCCACCAGTTTCGCCAACGATGGTCAGTGACGCTGCAGCGGGCACAGGCCTTGGCTTACCTGGGCAAAGTAAACGAAGCCTCCCCAGCCCCCCACACCCCCGTGGGCACCCCTGACGCCGACATGGCGCCAGGTGACTGCTTTGCCATAGCCGAGCCCCTAGGGGAGCTCGAGTAGGCCCGAGCCTCCCAACATGCACGTACCATGACTTGTCGCTCCCCACCTGCCTAGCCTGTACTCAGGATTCCAAGCAATAAACGGACCGCTTGAGAGAGAGAGGGAGCCTATGTCCCTTAGTATTTAGAGCCCTCAGTCCTTTCATTCCTCAGTTTTGAGTTGGGTTTCTTATTTTTCTCCTTCCCTTGGTGGCGGCTCGCGCCGGCGGCCTTCGGCCACGCGTTTGGGGACGGCAAGGACTCTGCACACCATTCATCAACAACAACAAGCAATGACAGCCTACGCCCCACGGGCCAAGCACACACCCTAGCAACTACCTATTCCGGCGGCATGGAGAGCCTCATCAGCCGTGCTGAGGGACTCTCGCCAGTGAGAGCGGCGCCCTACCGCACGTACGCGCGGAGGGGGCCGGTCACGCAACTTGGTCTGCTCCCGCTTCCTCAAGAAGGGCCGCCACATAGCCCACCAGGAGCTGGAGCGCTGACAAGGCGCCGCCAACAATGTCTACAGCTGCGGCCGAGTCTATGCTCGCCGATACTGCACGCATCACGACGAGCAGACGTGGGTCCAACACGGTTCCCGGGGCGGGCACGGGCTGCACTCGCGTCGACACGACGGCGAGATCAGCTGCTGCCATCGCACAGCGGTGAAGAGGATCATGAGGCATCCTGCATGGGCTCGCTGAGTTCCGAAGCACGGAGTGCGAGTCCGCCAGCATCTCCACGGCGATCCCCATCGCCCGCCGCGCGTGCCAAAGCCGACGAAGCGTGGCGACTGGGATCGCCGTCTCCGCGTGACGCCCGCGCCCCCGAAGCCGCTCCAGCTGCACCCTCAGCGGCATCCGCAAGCCGCTTGACCGGCGCGGCTCCAGCAGCTCCGGGGGGGAGCCCTCGTCGCAGGACTCCGCCCCCCCCATCTCCGCTGCTTCTGCCCCCCCCTCAACCCCAGTCGGGGATGTCAGAGTCCGCCGGGGGGGAACAAACGGCGCTGCAGCCTGCTCGCCAAAGAACAGCGGGGGATGCAGGCCTGCGGGCCAGCCCGCTGCTGATGTCTCCAGCAGCGGCGGCTGCCAGCTCGGCAGCGACCGCACCGTCGGTACTCCCGTCGGCGCAGCCACTGGACGCGACGGGTAGTGCAGGCCGGGCTGCTGCAAGGGCTGATACGGGGGGGCAGGGGGATGGGGTGCCTGAGATGCTGCTGGAAGGGCGGCGCCTGCTGCGCCACAGACGCACGCGGAGGACAGGATGGGGCCGGCATGCGCGGTTGGGCGTCCTGTGAGGGGTACACCTGCCCGGGCGGGAACTGCGGCTGAGGATAACCGGGCGCCGATTGAGGCGCAGCAACCGATCGGAACAGGTTCTCCAGCGTCGCCGCGGCGCGGCCAAGCCGCCTCTCCGCAGCTGACCCGCGACCGTTCCCACCGCCAGCCCGCCACCCGCGGCGTGGACCGGTCTGCCCCCGCTGCCCCTGCGGCGTCCGGTGCTGCTGGGCTGGAGTCGCCTGCGCCCCGCGCTGAGGCGTACCTCGGCGCGACGGCGCTGGCTGAGGCTGCTGCGGCTGCGGTGGCCGCGCTATCCCCGGCCGGTCGCGGTTCGCATGCTCAGGAGCCTTCCGCCCGGGCCGGGCCGGGGACGAGTGGCGGCTGCCCGACAGGCGCTCCGGGGTTTGCTGCCGGCTCGTTGTTGCGACTGGGAGCCCGCGCTCCCAATCGTAGTTCGAGGGCGGTGGGGAGCTCGCCCGATCTCGGAGGGGGGCGCTCTCCCCCGTACTCTCCAAATCGCGGGAGCGCTCACGATGGGGACGCTCGACTCCCACCGCATTCAGGGAGAACTCCATTGACGGCCCGAACACCCCCCACGGCCTCGCCCGCGCGACGGACCGGACGGCGCGCATCGGCTGGGGAGTTAGCTGGACGCAGTGGAGGCAGGGCCTGGAGAGGTCGGGGGCGCGGGCGAGGCCGGGCGGGAGACCTGTCACGGGATGGCGGCCCGATGAACGACTTCCAACAGGCTGCTAACCGGGCTTTAAGGGGGGGGTGCAAAGGGAGGAAACTGACGAAGAAGAGAGACAAGATATCACTTATGTACCTGAGAGCCGCCTCGAATCATCCACGGAAGAGTCTGGTGACGCTCTGGAAGACAGGGCACCATTGCGTGGAAGGGGCGGGAACCCATCCCCATCGCCCAGATCTCGCAGTCGAGGGCCTGTTGGCACGCAAACGCTCGGCTCTCCCGCCCAGGCGGCCAGAGGGAGGGCGCGAAATGTGCGAAATTCCCGCGCCAGCGTTACGCATGCGACCCTGCTCCCAAGGCTACTCTCGCCACAGGAGCTGTCGTCCAACGAATCGCTATTCGCCGGGGTGGCGGGATGGGACATCGACCTGCTGTGTGACAGTCGCCAACCCCCGATTTCCCGCAGAATCCCCCCCAAACTTCGCCAGCTCTTCGCTCTGGCACTTCTGACACCCCTCCTCCATATCGCTCACAGGCCAACCAGCCTCGCAGGCTGGCGTCTGTTACTCTTTGTCCCTCGCCTAACCCTTCGCCTGCATTCGCCCAAGCACCCAGATTGGGCCACAGTGGAAAAACGACTGCAGCAGTTCCTCGCGGGCGAATGGCATTTGCTGTACCTGTCAGCAATCGACGCTGTGCATAACCCCCCCGCACCTCGCCACGCGGCGGACTCCATCGGCAGGCAAAAGCGAGCAGAGGGGCTTGTCCGCCGTGGCAGTCTCCGACGTGCCCTGCTGGCACTGGACTCGACCCCGGTCAGCGATTCAACCCCCGACGTCCTCGAGGAGTTGAAGTCCAAGCACCCCGCCCCGTTGACTGAGTCAATCGCCTGGCCCATCCTTGACGAGTCCGAGGCGGGTCCCTCGTTTTCGCGGGATGCGTTCATTCGCCTGCTGAGTCGCTGCGAAAACGGAGTGGGCGCAGGGCCCTCAGGAATGTGCTTCGAGCACATTCGCGAAGCTGCCCTCGCTAACAACTCAGTCGCTGGCAAACTGCATGAGCTTGCATTACTTTTGCTCAAAGGGGATTCCACCGCCGAAATCGCCGCCCTACTCACCGCCAGCCGCCTCATAGCATTTCCCAAGCCCGGAGGCGGCACGCGACCCATCGCCATAGGCGAATGCCTGCACCGCCTCGTGGCGAAGGCGGGCCTTCTCACCATGACTGAACAAGCACGGTCTCACTTCCTTCCGCTGCGATTCGGGGTAGCGGTTCGAGCGGGCGGCGAGGCAATCATCCACGGAGCTCGAGCATACACAGCCGAATTCCTGCCGCCCTCGTACTCCAGGTCGACCTGTCGAATGCTTTCAACAGCGTCGACCGGGCTGCGATAGTGGCAGGCCTCTTCAACTCGCCCCTACGACCGATCCTCCCCTTCGTCCAGCTCTCCTACGGAGCCCCGTCGCGCCTCTACCTCGACGCAGGCTTCTGCAGTGGGCCACTCCTCAGCGCCCGGGGTGTGCGACAGGGGGACCCCATGGGTCCCCTGCTCTTCGCGGCGGCCATGCACCCGGCCCTCCAAGCGACGGCCTCGGCGTTCCCTAACGTCCTCTGCCTCGCATATGCCGATGACATTACGCTGCTCGGAGATCCGTCGGCGTGCGCGGCGGCCTTCACACACCTTACGGACGCCCTGCGCCCCTTGGGCCTCACGCACAACCCCTCCAAGTGTGCGGCGTGGTCAGCCTCCCAGCCCCCCAGCTCCATCCTCCCCCCGGGCATCCCCTTCAGCGCTGCCGGCCTGCGCGTCCTCGGGAGCCATATCGGCCCCACTGAAGGGACAGCCGCCTTCCTTCGGGAGCAGCTGGCCGACATGGCCAGACCGCTGCCCGCCCTGGCGACCATGGACCCCCAAGCCGCCGGCCTCCTCCTCCACCGCTGTGTCTCGCGGCGAGTGTCCTACCTCACCCGCACCACCCCTCTATCCTCGCTGCCCACCGATGAATGGTCCCGGTGGGGCCAGGAGCTCTTCCACACCCTACTCCGCTCATGTAACCTCCAGCTCCCACGGGGGGAGCGAGAACTGTCGCGCACGTGGCAACAGGCCTCTCTGCCCCCCTCTCTTGGCGGCCTGGGCCTCACGGACCCCGCAGTAGAGGGTCCGCACGCCTTCCTCACTAGCGTTACACAGGCCCAACGGCTGCTGATGTCCCTCCCATCGGACCCGACAGGCCCACTCGCTGCGGCGGCATGCTCCCTGGCCCCCCCTTTCAACAGCCCGACACCCCTCCACACCTGGCTGACGGAGTGCGAGAAGGCCCTCCCAGCCCCAGCCCTGGCCCTCCTGCAGGCCGAGCGGGCCGAACCCTCGGACGATCCCCTCCAGCACCGACTGGCCCTGGAGGTACACGCAGCCCGCTTCGCCTACCAGTTGGCTGCGTCAAGGGAGATGGAACTCAACCCCCTCAGCGGCCACACCCAGAGGCTCCTCTCCCTCACTGGGTACGGCGCTGGCGATTGGCTCCTCGCCATCCCCCTATCCCCCTCACTTCGGTTGGCGCCCCCACATTACGCCATCGCCCTGGCGTTCCGCATGGGCCTCCCTTTCCCGGCACCCAGGGTCTGCAACTGCGCCCAAGGGGTGGTGATCGAGGACCCTCGACTACCAAACCACCTCTTCCGCTGTGGGACAGGGCATGGCCGCACCGACACCCACAACGCCCTCCGGGACGAGTGCATACGCATGGGGCGGGACGCGCAGCTCATAGTCACGAAGGAAACAGCGATCTACAACCCGGTCGATGGCAAGACCGCCGACCTGGCCGTGCGTGACCGGGACTCGGGGGCGGTCTGGATCTGCGACGTCACCGTCACCGACCCAGTAAGCTCTCGGGACCCGCTAGCGCGCAAGGGCCGAGGATACATGGCCCGGGAGCAAGCGGACAAGAAGATCGACGACTACCGCCACAGGGCAGCATACGTCGGCTTCTTCCCGCTCGCAGTCGAGACGTATGGCTGCCCATGCGCCAAAGTGCCAACCTTCCTTAAACTTCTAGCACACACGGCAGCCCGCCGCCTTTTCAACGCCGACCCCAGCTCCTACCAGGCGGCTAAACTGCTTAGCCAGTTCCGCCAGCGCTGGTCTGTCACCCTCCAGCGGGGACAAGCCCTCACCTATCTTGGGAAGGTGAACGACGCCTCACCACTCGAATGGCCTCCCCTCGGCGCTCCTGACGCGGGCATGTCCCTAGGGGATTGCTTCGCTGTCATCGAGCACCTGAGGGAGGCGTGGTAGACTAGGAGCTCGGCCAAAATACCATGCATGATTGTACTCACCTTATATGCCTCGCATGTACCCAGGGTAATCCGAGCAATGAAGGACCGTTCGAGAGAAGTGGGTGGGGGTAGAGGGAGGGCATACCAGTTCAATGGTTCGTGTGGTGAGCAGCGGTCGCTGGGGATAGACGAGAAGATACAGAAGCGTGTCCATGCGACCCAGCTGTGGGGTCACACACATAAATACCATATGCGCACACACGTGTACATGCATGTGCACACGCCGGTATGAAGGACAAAGAAACACATGCACATGCACACGTGCAGACCACATGTATGCACATGGATGGACACATGGAGGTGCATAAGGAAACATGAGTAGCAGAACAGAGCCTCAGGTTTAGATGAGGGGGAAGAGAAGGGCGAATGCGATCGGAGAAAAAAACAGTGGATTTTTCATGTGGGAAAGGAATGAGATGCAACAGGGGGGGTAGGGATGTTGCCTGGAGTGGAGGCTATTTCTGAGGCGCCTCAAGAATTCAGGAGTGGAGGCTCACCTGGTTGTATGCCATGTTGCCCATCGCTTGCTTGCCCATAGCACACTGCGAGGGTAGGGGGCGCAGGGGGAGATAGAAACGGCAACGGACAGGAAGACGAGTGGTGAGAGTGAACCTGTGTGTGAGAGGGCTTGGAAGCACACACGTGCTAAGAGGGGAGAAGAAAAACAGAAAAGAAAGAGAAAGGGGGATGGGGCAGGGGGGTTGGAGGAGAAGGAGCGAGAGAGAGGGGTAGTGAGAGGGGTGACACATATGCATGCTCGCATGATCGCATCCACATGCACGCCCACTGAACTGTCAATTGTCTACATGCTGCCGCACTGGATGTTTTGTGGGTGGAATAAAGGAGCCCACTCAGCCCACATGCTACATGCTGGAGTTCCTCACCTGGTACGTTCGAGGCGACTGGTTGTGGTGGGGGTAGGGGATGAGGCCGGCGCATGTGTTAAGTTCTTGACAGTTCCCAAAAACTTATCACTTACATGGTGCTACATGCTACATGCTAGCGCACTGCACCGCACCTGGTATGTGTTTCGAGGCGACTGGTTGTGGTGGGGGTAGGGGATGAGGCCGGCGCATGCACCCAGGATGGTGAACGGCTCAATCTCTATGTGTGTTGTGTCCGGTGTCGCCTCCCACTCGTACAGCGCTATCTGTCAAAGGCACACATACAGACAGGAGCACAGGAGCACAGGAGCATGGGCATATGCACGTGCGCCCAGGATGGTGAACAGCTCGATCTCTATGTGTGTTGTGTCTGGTGTCCCCTCCCATTCGTACAGCGCTATCTGTGGGGGACAGACAGGAGGAGCGAAACAGATGCATCACGCACACCCAAATCGATTGAATGACGAAACATAAAGCAGCATGTGAGTTGCAATTGACAAGCACAGGAATTGGGGGGTGGGGGGGGGGGGGGGGGGGGGGGGGCTTGGAGTGCAAGTGTGAATGAGCGAGGAAGAAAACGGAAAACCAAGAGTAAACAGCTGTGGGAGCGTGTAAGCGAGTGCCATTGCTTGATGAAGCACCGTGCTCACTTTTTTGTTTGTATATATTCTGGGAGACGAGGGAGCGATACAGACAGACCAGAGCAGAGCAATGGCAGCGGAGCATTATGCATACCAGGGCGTTGTTCTCCTCGTTGACATCCAAGTACTCCACCAGGCCTTCCCTCAGGAAGTCGTCAAACGTTCGAATGCCATCCTGCACACGTGCCATGGACGGAGGTGGTCATGTTAGCTTATGCATTACATGCTGTATCATGCCACAGTCACAGCATGCCGCCCCTAGTCACTCAAATCAAGGGGAACCGAAGCAGCAGCACACAAAAAGCAGGAGGCAGGCAGGCAGCCACCAGAAAGGTTTCATGCACGGTGCTGAGTTTCGTGTGACATTGAAGCGAGGTGACTTTTGAGTCGACTCAAAAGCCACCAGAAAGGTTTCATGCACGGTGCTGAGAAATTGATCCGCATCATTCTGCAAAGAACTTAGGCAACATGCAACTCGACTAGTTTTGAGGTGCCTCAAAACTGAACTTTGCCACATGCAACTCGACTGGAAGAACATCAGATGGCGGAATTTCCTGCCGGCTGCATGCCAAACCCCTGAAAAAGCATGCCACCATCCGTGTGTAATGAGTCGATTTTTGAGTCGACTCAAAAATCGACTCATTACACTCCCATCCCACAGTCTACAACACACCCCGGGCACAGGACAGGACACACAACCCACGGAACCTGCCACCCATGGCAAACACACTGCACACACAGCACAGCACATGCCTTGAGTTCCCTTCCCTCATGTGGTGCTACTTCACCCGTGACACGCCCTTGTCCGCTATCACCAGAGGCCGACACACACGGCCCACACGGCACAAACAGCCCACAACACACACAGCACACGGCACAGCACACACAGAAAGAAAATTACACACTTGCCTTGAGTTCCCTTATGTGGTGCTGCTTCACCCGTGACACGCCCTTGTCTGCTATCACCAGAGGCCGGCACACACGACCCCCATCCGCTGCCAGAATCACAGACCGCTGGAAGAAGCAGGGAGGGGGGGGGGGGGGGGATGGGAAGGAAGAGGGAGCGAGGGGAGAAAAAGAATGGGTTAGGTGGTAGAGGAGGAAGAGAAGAGCGCATGGGAAGGATAGACATATATATAGGCACTACTCATTGGCAAAAACGATCAACTTGAGGTTGTCTTGTGGATTGGTACTGTTGGTTGACAATCTTATAAGGTACGAACCAGATTTTGTTTAACAGGGTATGAGAGGCAGCAGAGTTTCACATAAAATGCGATGAACCTGTGCGCTGTGCACGGATACGCAGAGAAACTGTGGTGCGGCAAATCAAAGGAAAACAGGGTGCAGGCAAGAGACGAACCTGTGCGCTGTGCACGTATATGCTGAGGAACTCCGGCACCTTGCCCGCTCTCCGGAGCTTCCTCAATGCATCTGAGAACCTCTGACGAGGAAGAGAGGGAGAGAGGGAGAGAGGGAGAGAGGGAGAGAGGGAGGGAGGGAGAGAGGGAGGGAGGGAGGGAGGGAGGGAGGGAGGGAGAGAGGAAAAAGGGAGGAAGGAGGGAAGAGAGGGGGGGGGGGAAGACGGGAGGGAGAGAGGGAAGGATAGCTTTGGGGTGTGGGAACTCCGGCACCTTGCCCACTCTCCGGAGCTTCCTCAATGCATCTGAGAACCTCTGACGAGGAAGAGAGGGAGAGAGGGAGAGAGGGAGAGAGGGAGAGAGGGAGAGAGGGAGGGAGGGAGAGAGGGAGGGAGGGAGGGAGGGAGGGAGGGAGAGAGGAAAAAGGGAGGAAGGAGGGAAGAGAGGGGGGGGGGGAAGACGGGAGGGAGAGAGGGAAGGATAGCTTTGGGGTGTGGAAACCCGAGTCAGAAAGGGGAAGGATGGCTTAGGGAGGATGCAGATGAGGGAGGAGAGGGAGGGGGTGGGAGGTTGCAACTTGCAAGAAGGGAGGGAAGTAAGGGAGCAGACACATGGGATCAGAAGGGAGCAAAATGCGTGAGGAGTTTATTTTTGAGGCGCCTCAAAAATAGACTCCTCACGCAGGGAGCAGACACATGGGATCGGAAGGGAGCACATGGAGTACTGAGACGGAGAAGACTAGGAGGGCAGGAGGGCAACTGACAAAATCGAGAACTGACTGTAGACTCGACCGAGGGTAGGTTGGCTTGACTGGCAGTGCACTCAACTGACTGTAACCGGACGGTGAGGAGCACGCGAGGAGGACAAGCAAAGCAGCGGCAAGACACCCACTGGGGGGCGGCTCTGAGCGCCAAGGATGAGCCCCTTTGAAGACCATGTAGGTGGTGGCGCTGTGGTGTGGATCAGAAAGTGTCACAGTGCGCCTGCACACAGAGAGAGGCGGTCGCTCCCCACAGAGAGAGGCGTTGACTCACCAGGGGACGTCTGTGCACGCCCAGGATGAGCCCGTTGAGGAAGACCATGTAGGTGGTGGTGCTGTGGATCTCCTCCGCGGACTGCAGATGCAGGTCCTCCACGCCCAGGCTGTGGCACTGGGGGCAGGCGAGGCGACGGGGGTAGGAAAGAGCAGACATGGGAACCAAGGGGAAAAAGGCGGAAAAGCGAACTGTGAAGCTGTGGATCTCCTCTCCACGGACTGCAGATACAGGTCCTCCACGCCCAGGCTGTGGCAATGGGGGGCAGGCGAGGGGGATGGGGGGGAGGGTAGAATGGGGAGAGGAGGATGGGGAAGAAAGGAAAGGGGAAAGGTTGAGGTTGACTGTGAAAAGGAGTCGGAGGAAAGGGAAAGGGGAGCGGTGGTGCTGTGGACAGTGGATCTCCTCCACCCCCATGCTGTAACACTGGAGAGAGGGGTGGGGAGAGAAAGAGGGGGGGGAGGGGGGGGGGGGGAAGAGGACGTCAAAAGCCAAGCTTCGGTGAAAGGCACTCATGAGGCGCATAATAAGTCAAGCTTCGGTTCCTCCTCCTTGCCTGTGGTGGTGATGTGTGTCACGAAACCCAAGCTCCTCACCAGACCACTCGCCCCCCCCTCTGGTGGTGTGCCTTGAGCATTGACTCAGCAGAACGCATCTTCCTGGTCCTGGGCATGGGAACCAGGCAGCACTCACGAGGCGGATGAGCGGCGGCTCCTCCTCGTCCGTGGTGACGTGTGTCATGAGCGCCAGGTTCTTCACCAGCCCACATGCTTCCCCCTCCGGTGTGTCCGCCGGACACACCATGCCCCACTGGGGCACAGCAGGGGGGAAAGCGGACAGGTGGAGCATGAGTGCGCGGACAGGGTGTGGGGGGGGGGAGGAGTGGGGGAAGGGAGGATCGGGAAAGGCCACGGATGGAAAAAGTGAAGCGAGCAAAGACTTAAGGAAGTGAGGTACATATAACATACATCAGCACAGAGAAGGTGCAAGGAGGAGGCAAAATACACAATACACATGACGTAAAGTAAAATCGTCTACTGGAGTGGGCTCACAGGAAGCCACGGTCCGCCCTGGGCCCTCCATCCTATCCCGTGGCGATGTCCCACCTGGCTGGGGTGCAGCGCGCGGGGCCCGCTGACTTTGCGAGTCTTTTCAAACTGAGATGTGATGCGGGTCATGTGCCCAAATGCGCCGATGAACGCCAGGCGTGATAGCACCTGGGTGGGGTGTGACACCACACCAGCAATCATAGAAAAGCAGACAGGGGCATGAATAAGAGATTCATCTAGGAGAGAGCTCCTCCCTGGACAAAACGCAACCCCCCACTCTGCTAGGAGGATCACTCTACCTCCCTTACTCTGCTTTCCCGCCAACATCTTCCAATCGACTGCCTCTCGAAGTCCTAACTGCAAGCGTTTCTCACCTTAGCAGTCTTTGAAGCACCAAAGGTGCAACTACCTGCTATGCCAACCCACCTGCCTGGAGGCTGGCGCAGAATAAAACCTCTCAATATTCAACTGCCTACACAACACTAACCTGCTTACCTGCCGCTCTGTCTCTCCCCCGCACGCACCTAAGTGACTCCCTTGCGGAACCGCTATGGGGAACCGCTCTCCTGTCCATTTTGAGGCGCCTCAAAAACCAGACACCAAAACCAAAAACTAAAACCATAACACCATGAAGCAAGTACCTGAGCTGAGTGACGCCCTTGCTGCGGTCCATCATCCATGCGAAGCCGCTTGACTGTCCAGTTGCCACTGGAGATGATTCTGAGACGCCTAAAAAAACCAGAAAGACCAGAACCAAGCAAGTACCTGAGTGACGCCCTTGCGGTCCATGCGGAACCGCTTGACTGTCCAGTTGCCACTGGAGATGGCGTGCTCCAAGCCGTATGTGATGATGTCCGGGCGAATGCACTGATGGGGCAAGGCAACAGATACATCATACAGGGCCATGCATCATATCCGCCACAGCCATACATGCACAAACATTAGAGCATATGCACACACACACACACACACACACACACACACACACACACACACACACGCGCGCGCGTGCGCACATGCACATGTATAAGCTCGCATGGAGACGTCGCAATTACACAGGGGAAACAAACGCACGCGTTTCCTCCTACCATAGTTACACCCCTTCCCACTTTTACCCTTCAAATCAAACCTTACTACGCTCCCTAACTCCACCGCTCTCCACACCTCTAGTCAGACTGCCCCTCTCCCATCCCCCATTCCATGCTTCCCTCCTCCTTCCCTCTTCTCCTTCCTCCCCCCATCCCTCCTCCCCACCCCTCCTCCCCAACTTCTCTGCCTCCAAACCCACCTCCCCACCTCATCCTTCCCTACTTCCCCAACCCCTCGTCCTCTATACCCCCTGCCCCCTTCGTGAGGAGTCTATTTTTGAGGCGCCTAAAAAATATACCCCCTGCCCCCTTCCCTCGATTGCTCACCTGCTGCATCTACTGCTTCCCCATCCCCATCGACCCTTCCCGTTCCTTCCTGCCTCCCTTGCCTTGACAACGTCAGACTGAGTGGCACGGTTAGACTTGGAGAGAATAGCATCTGCTCTTTTCTATCCCCTTCACAAACCCTTTCCATTGGCGGTATCACATCCCATTTTGCTCCCACACTCCTTTCCATTGGTGTTACAACACTGCGTGGCACATTCTCCCTTGCCTTGACAACGTCAAACTGAGTGGCACGGTTGGACTTGGAGAGAATGGCATCTGCCTGCCGCCTCAGCTCCATGTTCATGCGCTTGAACAGGTCCTGGAGGGGGTGGGTGGGGGAGAGGAGGGGGGAATGGTGGGGAGAAGCAGAAAATGTGCACTTGGGAACAACAATGTAGGACATGAGAAGAGTGGCTTGAGGTGCATCCGCCAGCCGCCTCAGCTCCATGGTCATGCACTTGAACAGGTCCTGGGGGGATAGGGGGGAAAGAGTGGTGGAGAAGGTGCACAATGGGAGAACGGTGTTGTACGTAACTTGAGAGTCGAGACACAGGGAGGGAGTAAATCTGCTGCCTCAGGTCCATGTTACATGTGCTTGAAAAGGTCCCAGGGGGGGGTGGAGAAAGAAGGGAATGGGAGGAGTGGCGGAGGAAAGGCAGAGAACAACACATAGGAGGGAAAACGATCTGGAAGAGAGAGAGACAGAGAGAAAAAAAAAAAAAAAAAGGCATTGGCTACGGCTTGTGACTGCAGCTCCATGTTCATGCGTTTGAACAGAGTATGGGGGGGGGGGGAAGAGGATAGTTGTCGGGAGGCGGAAAGAGGGAGGCGGCAGACAGGACGATTCAGGCACGGCGACAAGCCTTGTAAAGAACGAAGAGACGAAAGAGACATGAGATTGACGGAAAAAATCTGATACTGTGTGGCTATAAGGGGAGTGAATCGATAGGAGCTACGCAGAGAGAGGAGATTAGGAAACAAAAGAAGAAGCAGTAAAGAACCTAAGAAGTGCTTGAATGAATAAAGCATGGTGTATGCCATGGGATAGGGGCAACGGATGTCCCAGTCCAACCTCGAAGCGGCACCAGTAGGCGCAAGAGCTCCAGACGTTTTTTTGGTGAACCCAAAAATCAACTTGTTGAGCTGACAAAAAAAACACTGCGAGGAGCCTCGTCTTGCTCTAGTCCTACTCCATCCTAGTCCAACCACCTCAAAAAGAAGCGACACCAGTTGGCCCGAGAGCTCCAGACGCTTGTTGCCGTAGTAATCCTGGCGGCGACGCAACGCGACACATATGGAAAGGGGGATGGAATGTATTATGTTAATTGGAGGATGGAGAGACAACCGGCAAAGGGAGACACAAGGTTGTGACACGGGAGCAAGCAACATGCTGCTGGCAGGCAAACAAAGATACGAAGAACGCAGGGCGCAGCACATGTGGGTGGGAGGGAGGGAGGGAGGAGCTCCCTGAAAACGCACAAGGATGACCGCACAGAGCCTGCCTATTATTCCCAAACTCACACCAATCGCATCTCAGAAGATATAAACCGCTCCGCACCTCCCCCACCTGTCCCGCCCGCCCTGTCATTCTACACCTGTAAGCAGCAGCATAGCCTCTCAGTGTCAATGCGGCAGCACTTGCTGACCACTGCTTAACGCACGCACATCAAATCTGGTTTTGAGGTGCCTAAAAACTACACTTGCTGTCCACTCCTTAACGCACGCGCACGTCAAATCCAGCACTCTCTCGTCACCACCACAGCCATACCCTGCTGCCACTAACAGAGGCGTACATGAAACGTACCCTGTCGGCTGCGGCGTCGGAATTGGTTATTGGGTCGCCTCCAAAATAAATAAACAACAGTCGGTCGTCACCTCACCTGGCTCACCACCACCAGTGCCATACCCTGCTGGCACTAACAGAGTCGTGCATGTAACATACCATGTCGTCGACGACGACATCGCGTCGGCGTTGATGAGGGCATCCATCATGGTGAATTTTGAGCCAACTCAAAAGCCACCGCATACCCTGTAAGTAACCACACCAACAGTCGAAGTCGTGCATGTATGTAACATACCCTGTCGTCGACGGCGTCGGCGTTGATGAGGGCGTCCATCATGCGGCGCAAGATGACAGCGATGAACATGCACTTCTCCCGGTAGTCAAAGCGGTGCACCTGGTGGGGGTGATGATGGGTGGGATGGGGTGGGGTGGGGTGGGACGGGGTGGGACGAAGTGCAGGGGGCACACGGGATGGGGGCGTGGAGGAAAGCGAGGAGAAGTCAGCAGGATGAGGGCAGTGCAGGATGACAGCGATGAACATGCACTTCTCCCGGAAGTCAAAGTGGTGCAGCTGGTGGGGTGATGATGTGTGGGATGCGGGGGCCGCAGGGAGCGCAGGGGATCAAGGCATGGAAGAGGTGGGAGGAGAACCAGGAGGCTTGAGGCGGCGCAGGATGATAGCGATGAGCATGCACTTCTCTCGGAAGTCAAAGTGGTGCACCAGATGCGCCAGAAGGTGATGGTTGAGATGCAGGGGGCGCAGCGAGGGAGGGGGGCATGGAAGAGGTGAGAGGAGAAGCAGGAGGCTTGTAGGCCGTGCAGGATGACAGCAATGGATGGGCATGCACCTCTCTCGGAAGTCAACGCGGTGCACCTGGTGCAGCGGGAGGGATGCCTCCCGCCGGGAGCGCAGGGACCAGCAGGGGTCGGTGAACGGGGAGAGGAGGGGGGGGGGGGGCGGGGGGGGGAGATGGTGCGCAGAAAATCAGGTGACTTTTGAATCGACTCAAAAGTCACCTCTGCGGCGGGAGGGATGCCGGGAGCGCAGGGACCAGCAGGGGTCGGTGAAATGGGAGGGGGAGAGGAGAGGGGGAGAGGAGGGGGAGGGGGAGAGGAGGGGGAGGGGGAGAGGAGGGGAGGGGGAGAGGAGGGGCGGGGGCGGGGGGGGGGATGGTGCGCAGAGAATCAAGGAAAGGAAGGGCTGCAGGCAGTAAACGACTGGATGGCAAGAGGCAGGGATGGTTGGTTGATAAAAAGGAAGAGGACATTCCATGCCATGGATTTGCAAGAGAAAAAGAAGACGTACGGGCACATGGCAGAGCACAATGTTGGCCAGCACATCCCGCACTTCATCCACCTGCAGCCACGGGGGGAAACCAGGGGGGGGGGGGCGGGGGGGGGGGAAGGATGGAGGAGTGAGTGAGATGGTGAGGGGAAGGCGGAAGACGAGAGATGAGATTAGCTCCAATGAGCTACATGAACATGGTGAGTGAGACATCTGGCAGAGCATTATGTTGGCCAGACCAGCACATCCCGCACTTCATCCTGCTGCAGCAGGCACGGCGTCATGGGGGAGAGGTGGAGGGTAAGCGGGGGCGAGGGGAGAGTAAGTTTGTTCCAATGGGAAGAGAGAAGATGGGAGGCAAGGGGAGGGAGAACGAAGGGTGCAAGGAAGAGGGAAAGAAACGGAGGAAGAGGGAGGGGGTGAGAGTGAGTGAGAGCGTGGAAGATGGAGAGAGGGAGATGGGGGGGGTGGGACGTTCGGGGGGTGGGGGGGGGGGGGGTGGGAGGGAGGGGAGCTCAACAGAGAGTGACTAGCAATGGTGAGTGCAACAGCGTGTGTAAAGCAGCAGTAGTTGCAGCAAGAGAAGGTGCAAACGCAGTGTGTACGCAGCAGATAATGATGCTGCACTCACTCTGGAGCGGCGTGCTCGACCCCACATCTGTCGGGCTTGTTTTACCTGAGAGGGGCGAGCATGGGGGATGGAATAGCAGGAGAGAGGAGGAGAAGAAGGCGAGATAAGCCGAGGAGAAGAAGGAATTACATCACACAACGACATGGCATGACTACTTCCATGCTGCTCGCCTTCTTGCCCTCCGTATCTTCTCTCCCAACCCCCCCCAACACACACCCCCCCCCCCCCCCCCCGGCCGGCCCCTCTTGTCTCACTTTGGTGGCGCAGTAGTCGAGAGCTTGTTGCGTGGTGAAGACACCAGCAGCTGCAGACTCCTGGAGCCTTCACCCCTCCCCCTCCCCCCCCCCCCCCCCACCCACTCCTCCTGACTCACTTTGGTGCCGCAGTATTCGAGAGCTTGCTGAGTGGTGAAGACACCAGCAGCTGCCGACTCCTGTAACGTGGGAGCGAGGAGGTCGGCGTACTTGGGGTCCCGGCCCACCATCTGCACCACCTCCTGATCGCTCTCCACGCCCATGGCCTTGAGCGCTATCACCATGTTCACCTGCCGGCAAGCACACATGCATGCCCAGCCGCACATGCATGCACATGTACATGTACAGGCACATGCAAGCAAGCACATGCACACACAGACATGCACAACACACATGACATGCATCCACCCACATCCCCGCGAACGCACACACCCCACGCCACAGACACAACCATGCAGATACACAGAAAAAACACAAGGATGGCATCACCACATCAATCTCGTCCTCCCTACCTGTACAGCCTTGCTTCCCCCCCCCCCCACTTCTTCCCCCTTCTCCCTCCCTCACTCATTCATCGAGGGTGCTGCTGTTGTGCTCTCTCTCGCACTCACATCCTCATTGAACGTGTTGTGTCGCAGCAGGAACCGCCCGTGCTTCATCACTATGTTGGTCTTACTCTTGCGCTCGTGCGTGCTGCTAGTCACCGAGCCTGCCACCCTGCCATGCACATGCATGCATGCATGCATGCAAGCAAGCAGGGAATGCATATACGCACATGCATGGGTGTATGTATGCACAAACGTACATGCACACTTGCAGGGAGTTGAAGCTTGCACACCCAACCACCCACACCCTTCTGCAGCTAGATGGCTAATGTAATCTACAGTGCACGGGTCAAAGAGAGACAGAGGAAAGAAGTCCGGTGGATGGGTGGGTGGGTGGGTGGGAGTGATTGGCACGAGGAGGGGGGGGGTGGGGGGGAGGGAGTTGGAGGGGGCTTGGAAAAGCGGATGGGGGGAAGGAGTTGTGTTTGCCTCACCCTCCTTTGCTGTCAGCATCAATGATGATTCTGTTCTTCGACAACTGCTCCTGAATCAGGATCACCTGCTCCGTTGCACCGGAGAGAGTAAAAACGAACCAACGAAAAGAGAAGGGAGGCAGAAGGAGGGACCATGGAATCGAATCTGCAAGTCGACTCAAAAAAACGTTTAAGTCACAAGAGCAGAGGAGGAGGGGCAAAATCAAGAAGAAAAAAGCGCGTCTACTTTTTTCCGAGGCACCCCAAAGAAGCACGCGCCCATGGTCTACCTCTGCATCCCACGCCTGAAACCCATCCCTCCTCCCACCACGCCCCCCCTATCCTTGCTCCCTCCCTTGCCTCCCAACCCTCCCACATCCACAAACCTAGCCCCTCCCACTTGCACAGGCCTGCCCTGCTACTCCCCCCCACTCCCAGATCCTGAGACCCCTCAAACATTGTTCCCCGCACACACATCAGCAAACCCTCCACTCCCGCCCCTTTCCCACCCAGCGTCCGACTTTCAACCCATACCATACCCCCTCCACTGGCCTATGCCTCATCCCTGGGCCTTAAACCCGAACCCTAAACCGGGAAAAGGCATAAACTCCGAAGTTAGCAGGAGGGTGTGAAGTTGCCCCTGCCGTGTCTCACCTTTTCCACGCCCTTGACCACGAAGTAGCCTCCGGGGTCCAAAGGACACTCGCCTGTGGAAAGGGATAAGGCGTGGCAGGGGCATGGGGGGGGGGGGGTAGAGGGTTCTTGTGGGGGGGGAGGGGTTGAGTAGGGAGGGGCAGTGAGCACACAGGGGACACGAGGGTACTGATTATTGTAACACTGGCACCCCCAGGAATTTGAAGCGTGCCCTTTAGGGGTGCATTCTTTCTTATCCTATGCGTTCTAATCATAGGCATCCAGCCCAGCCTGGTTCTTCTCATGCAGCATGCACTGGTCTGACGGCAGCATGAGATTTCCCCCCTTTTCGTTTACTGCTTTTTCACACTCCCATTCCCTCATCCCCAGGCTCCAGCCCTGCCTAGTTTGGCGAGCTCCTGCTCGTTCTTCCCGTGCAGCATGCAGTGGTCTGACCACAGCATGAGAGGGATGCGCCCGATCTCACCCCCCTCCCCCTCCCCTCCCCTCCCCTTCGTGCACTACAAACCCCCCCCCCACACACACATTTCAAGCCTACATAGTTTAGCGAGCTCCTGCTCATTCTTCCCGTGCAGCACGCAGTGGTCGGAGTGCAGCATGAGGCCCAGTCCCCCCGCTCTCATCCCTCCCCCCCTTCCCCCTCCCCCCCCCCCCCCCCTGGCCCCCCCACACACATTTCAAGCGCACCTAGTTTGGCGAGCTCCTGCTCGTTCTTCCCATGCAGCACGCAGTGGTCCGACCGCAGCATGAGGGGGATGCGCCCGATGAGCAGCGCGCCCTGCCCATCCTTGCCCACGCGCCGCACGATCTCCTTGCCACGCGTGTACTCCACATCCACTGTGATGGGCGCGGCGTAGCTGGGAGAGGGAAGGGGTGCCAGAAGGGGTTGGGTCAAGGGTGGAGCATGCGCCTCAAAAGCTATCTCCTAGCCTCGCCTCGCCACACGTGTAAGCTATCTCCTCGCCTCGTCCACATCCACCCACCGTGGTAAATGGTATGGGCGAACCCAAACCGCAACATGTAGGAGGTTGAAAGAAGCCCTGAGGTGGCTTTTGGAGTCGACTCAAAAGTCACCTCAAAAGTCAACCCCAAAAGCAACATGTAGGAGGTTGAAAGAAGCCCTCAGGCTGCTGACACTCTTACTCTCTCACTCACTCACTCTACACCCACCCTCCCTGCTGAATCCCAAACCCTCCCTCCCCCACACACAACGACCGACCGACCACCTCTTCTGAGAATCTTGTGAATCCACACCGATGCTGCATAATGCTGTGGTGCCACAAAGCACAATATCCCTCCCGCCCCTCCACACACACCTCAACCCCACCTCCCCTCCACACACACCCCAACCCCACCTCCCCTCCCCCACCCCCCATGGTACCACATTCGTGTCTGGCTGGCAGCAGTTCTGTGGGGCGATGCGTTGTCCCTTATCCATCACAGAGTGCTTTTGAGAATTCTAAAAAACACCCTGCGATGTCCTCCGTCCATCCATGATCCATCACATAGTCCTCCTCCGCACGTTCAAGGCGCCAAACCAAAAGTCGGCATTTGGGTATATAGACGGCACTTTGACCTTTCAATTCAATTCACACCACAGCAATCTGCGGCAGCTCACGTCATGTCTCGGAGGCGGCAGTTCTGCGGGGTGATGTCCTCCATCACATAGTCCTCCTGCACGCTCGGCTTGCCCACGAATATGTCCAGGTACCTGCCGGCCCGCACAGAGGAGAGGGACAAACAGAGGGAGGGAGGGAGGGGAGGGAGGGAAGGAGGGAGGGAGGGAGGGAGGGGAAGGAGGGAGGGAGGGAGGGAGGGAGGGAGGGAGGGAGGGAGGGAGGAGGGAGGGGGGGGAGGGAGGGAGGGAGGGAGGGCGCGAGGAGGGAGGGAGGGAGGGAGGGAGGGCGCGAGGGAGGGAGGGAGGGAGGGAGGGAGGGAGGGAGGGCGCGAGGGAGGGAGGCAAGGGGTGGAAGGGAGAAAGGGCATGAGGTGGTGCAGGGTGAAGGCGGAGGGGCGGGACCGGGTCAGCAACATATGTTCTGCCTCGATGGGGTGGGGTGTCCTCCATCACATAGTCCTCCTGCACGCTCGGCTTGCCCACGAATATGTCCAGGTACCTGCCGGCAGCGTGGGGTGGAGGGGGAGGGAAAGAGGCGGGAAAGGGTGAGTGAGGGCATAAAGCTGCACAGGGGTGCCGCCGCGCCAGCCAGCAGCATGCGTAGTGAAGCATAGCTGGTGTGGCTGTCTGTGACGAAGGGTGGACATGCGTGCTTCACAGGTAGCTCAATTCGTGCATGAACCGAACCGACGTGTGCACCACCAGCTAGGCTAGCCAATCGATGTCTGATAACAAGCACGCCCCCCATCCATCCATCTCCCTGCACCTCCTTTCCTGCCATGCCAAGGGATTCTACCACACGCGCCCACACAAGGGCTTCAAGCACGGACAAAGAGATTGGGGGAGCGCGGAGGTAAGGGTGGCACAGGAGACGAGCAGGTGTATTGTGTACATACCTGACTTGAGGTAAAAGTTGGAACCAGTGTTGCAGGTGACTCTTTCATAAACCCTGGAGTGAAATCCGTGGATATTCTTGATGTTGCAATTCAGGGTTGAAGTCAAGATTCAGGGCTCAAGGTCGAAATTTAAAATTTAAGGGCGGAAGGTTTAAGGGCGAGGGTTCAGGGTTTAAGGGCGAGGGTTCAAGGTTTAAGGCTAACTGCTCCGCATGGGAGAGCTCACTCGAGGTAGAAGTTGCAGTCGGTGTTGCAGGTGACCTTCTCGTTGGCCTTGGCGTGATATCTGCGGATGATCTTCTTGACACCAAAAATCATGCCAGGGCACGGGTTTAAGGAGGGTTTACTGTAGCCAGGCCCTAAGGGGGAGATCTCACTTGAGGTAGAAGTTGGGGTCGGTGTCGCAGGTGACGCGCTCGTTGGCCTTGGCGTGGATGATCTTCTTGATGTCGCAGTTCACAAAGTAGTTAAACGAGTCCACGTGCTGCTTCACCAGCCCCCGAACCTGCCAGTGCCAGCCACCCCGGGATACCGACGGACGTTTGCAGGGGGGGACGGGAAGGGAGGGGGGTTTTGAGGGGGGAGGGGGTAAGGGGCTAAGGGGGTACGAAGAGGTGTGTGGGGGGGTGCGGGAAAGGAGGCGGGATAGGGGGGAAACGAGGAATTTACATTTGCGTAAGAGAAAGGTTTTGAGGCGCCTCAAAACTAAAATTTACATCTGCGTTAGAGAAAGGGATTCGGGAGTATAAGATGTCTAAATTAAACAAGGCTTTCACTCACGGACCCAAGGCTTCTAGAAGGTCTCAGAGAAGGACTAGGACGGGCAGGACTCAAAGACAGGGGCGGCTTCGGAAGTTAAGGTTGGACCTTGAGGCATGGCATCATGGCATCATGGCATCATGGCACTATGGGCCATGTCGGAATGTCCCACCTTGAGGAAGGCTGGCAGCAGGGCGAACTTATCGACGGCAGACTTTATGGGCGCCGTGAGCTTCGCGGGATCGTCGAGACTGGTGACAGCGGGTAGGCAGCGAGGGGGAAAGGGGGGGGGGGGGGGTGAGGTGGGGGTGAGGTGGGGGTCGGGGTGAGGGGGGAGAGAGGGAGAGAGAGAAGGAAGATGGAGGTTGAAGAATGAGAGGGGGGGATGAAGTTGGGGGTGAAACGGGGTGATGCAAAGGAGGGTGCGGCGGTGGAAAGGGGGCCAGCCAATGGTGGACAAACTCTCTTCAGTCGACGAATGCACAACTCTTTTGACATGCCGGAACAGCATTCGACAGGCTATTCAGATTCTACGAGCCACGAGGCTTCCCAAGGGACTGGTGAACGGGGCGGATAACGTTTCTCATGTGTGTCTTTTACTCTCAACCCCCTCTCTCTCCCTCTTCCTCGCTATCTCTCCCTCTCTCCCTCTCTCGATGTATCTCCCTCGCACTCGTACGAATGATGGAAAGTAGGTTCCAACCCAACTTGGCTCGCCATGGCGAAGGGAAAAAACTACGAAGGTTCGTACACTACGGCCGAAACGACAACGCTACGACTTGGGAGGAGAGACGAAAGAAAAGAAGTCTGACCTTACGACGTCTGCCATCCACGAAGGAATCTCCGTGGCATCGTTTGGCGCCATGATGCTGCTCCGATTAGACTACCGTACAAACACCGATCACAACTATGACGCTCTGCGATTCTTAAACGGCCAAAAAGAGTCTAGCTGACAATAGTAGGGAGCCGTTGCACGCGGGAACGCGTGGATATCTGAACCGCGGTTCTGTGGCTCCTAGCTATTGAATAAAACACCCGCCATGGCCTTGGCAAACTGGTAGTTTGCGTATGGATGATGTCATGGCTTGAGCAGGGTCTTCCGTACCTGTTTGTATCAACCACACTTCACAGTATGCATCTCCTTTACTACAAACGTTAAGCACTGTATTTCATTCTCCAACTTGATCCTATCCCATTGATCTAATTGCACATGGGACAATAGAGAAACAATACTGTGTCAAAATAATACCTGAAGGCCTGGTTGAAACTAATATACAGAGCAGCGCGTAATGGAATATCGAAGTAGTTAATGACCGAATGAGAGTACAAGGAATAACGAGGCAATTTATAGGAACACCTGAACTAATGTTGGCTATGAGATGAGATGGTTCGAGAATCATGGCTAGTTCTGCAGGCACCTGACGTCGACGTCGACGTCGGCATCGAGGAAGCTCCTCGAGTGATTTCGCGAGCACTGGTTACCACCCAAACCAAGTGCACTTTCCGAGCCTCGCTCGGAAGCCATGCGACCAAATTGTGGAATCCGCACGCGTTGAGAGAGGAGCGAATTTAACGATTGTGCAACATAAACCTGCTGCCCAAGGGCAGATGAGAAATATTCGGGGATAAAATGATGGGAAAAATAACCTATGGTTTGGAGATGCACTCACTATCCCACAACCTCAGGGCAGGCCAAAGTTCGCTTTTGTTGGGGTCAAGCTTTGGCTGTTGCATTTTAGGGGTGTGGAGGCCTAGTACACCCGTGCGGCTGATGTAACGCCGCACACAAGGTGGACTCCGCGATTGAGCAAACGTCAACGGTGTGCGTTCTGCAGGCCAAAAAGGAAGGTGATGATTACATGAGAGCACCTTCCGAAAGCGCAATTTTTTGCCTCGGATCGAGGGTCAGCCCGAAAAAATCCTTCCAAACCTTGCACAATGTACCCGAACCTGGTGACATCGAGATGCCTGCAGAACCCGTCCACCTACAGATGACATCGACATCACGGAAGCAGACTTCCTCGCTTCCCTCCCTGGCAAAACTGACGCAGACTTGACGCAATGTTGACGTTTCCTCAATCCCGGAGTCCACCTTGCGTACGGCGTTACACCAGCCGCTCGTGTGTACTAGGCCTCCACACCCCTAAAATGCAACCGTCAAAGCTTGACCCCAACAAAAGCGAACTTGGGCCTGCCCTGAGGTTGTGGGATAGTGAGTGCATCTCCAAACCCTATGTTATTTTTTCCGTAATTTTACTCTCGAATATTTCTCATCTGCCCTTGGGCAACAGGTTTATGTTGCACAATTGTTAAATTCGCTCCTCTCTCCTTTCGCGCACGGATTCCGCAATTTGGTCGCGGTGCTTCCAAGCGAGGCTCGGAAAGTGCACCTGGTTTGGGTGGTAACTAGTGTTCGCGAAATCGCTCGAGGAGCTTCCTCGATGGCGACGTCGACGTCAGGTGCCTGCAGAACCCAGCCATTGCGTCAAGTCTACGTCAGATTTGCCAGGGAGGGAAGCGAGGAAGTGTGCTTCCGTGACGTCGATGTCATCTATAGGTGGACGTGTTCTGCAGGTATCTAGATGTAACCAGGTTCGGGTACATTGTGCAAGGTTTGGAAGGATTTTTTCGGGCTGACCCTAGATCCGAGGCAAAATTCGCGCTTTCAGTACAGTACCTTTTTTTTTTTTTGCCTACAGAACGCAGCCGATATCGAAGGGTGTCGAAGATTCGTCAAGACGTCTGGATTCGAGCCGAAGGTTCGGTTTGAAAATCCGGGACCGAATTTGAACTTCGTGAGAGTTCGACCGTACGCGGTGCAGTACATCTCGGTAAGGAAATACTCACACGTTGGATGAATTGCGCTGTAACCACCACCCCCTCGACTCAACAGGTTGGGATTTCGTGTATGGGCTGGGTAATTCGTGATCAAACTGCGGCTCGCCAGTCAACGCTGAAGAGTGACGTGATGACGAGCACAAAGGTCCATGCAACAGCCCGCTCCTCGCAAATACGCTTACGATCCTCGCGAGCCACTCAACGCCTCCCATCAACAGTGTGTGACGGCTCTCCTCATCCGTCAGCGAGTCGTCGCTCGAAAAGGCAACCTCACGCGAGCCGCCCAAAACGTAAACGCGGCTTGGTTTCAAGAACAAACAAACCAATTTGGAAATTCAAACGAGCATTTTGTTGCTTGCACTGGGGCGTCGGGGATCTCTTCGCCTCTCCCATCCCAACCTCCAACAACTACCACTCTTTTCCCGAATTTCTCTCAACCAAGAGTTATCCCGAGCGCGCTTGCGGTTGTGGTGCTTGGTTAGGTGGTGTAAGAGAAGAATCTTCTCTCTTCCATTGCTGTCACAGTTCGTGTGGCGGCGGTGGTAGCAGAGAAAGTTTTCTTTCTACTGCCGCCATTTCTCTGGCTGGAGAATGGCCGCAGTAGCACAACCTGTTACACCTATCCTCGTTCCTTCTACCGTTACACATCCGAGCCAGCAGCATATCTCCCTGCCACTCCGTCCGCTTCAATGCGCTCAGTCCTTTTCATCCCCGTCATCAGCGGACCGCGGAAACCGCGTTATTGACGTCGCAGCCGCGGCGGGATTCGCCGTACCAAACGCCTTCAGACTCCCCGCAGAGCAATCCGCGTCTCCTAGTATCTTCTCCCTTCTCGGATCCCCAAAGGAAGCACCGCAGCCAGAAAAACCAATCCACGCTCCGGTTTCCGAGTCTTCCAACATAACCACCTCCCATACAGTCACGTTCCAATCAGTCACCCCGCATACAGTCAGCTCCATTGCACTCCCTATAGAAGGCGTTCCATCGGACCTCTTCCTCTCACAAGCCGCCGCGAATCCCGGAAGCATCGCGAACAATGGATGCCTGTTCGACGGGGCGCTCATGTGGGACGTCGTCGCCAGCCGAATCGAATCGCCGGCTTTACCCTCGCCCTTATACACCTCATGCGCTTACCCCTCACCCGCTTACCCCTCACCGACCACCTACCCCTCTCCCTCCGCCTGCCCCTCTCCCTTTCCCGCCCACTGGTCGCCAATGGGTTTGTCGCCAGCCGCCGCTTTCGCACAGTCGCTCCACGCACAGTCGCTCAACGTCGCATGCTACTACGGCGACGGTTCCCCCTTCTCCCTCCCCACGGGAATGGATTTCGCGTCGTCCGTTCATCCGGCTTATCCTTTCGACCATGGTTATCTGGACGCTGAGCCCGCCCCCCCCGTCGCCGCCGCCGCCGCCAGCGTCGCAGCGCTCCCGCCACCGCGGGATGACGACGTGGATGTGTTCACTGCGGTGGTCGCAGAGTTTCGGGAAGCGGCGCCACGGAAGCGCGAACACGGAGAGGAGAAGACCCGCCAATTGCCGCTCGTCAACCCGTTGTGCAACCCGGCGCAAGCGGCGGAAGGAGGAGCGGAAAGCGGTCTCGGCTCGGCAGTGGGGCGTCTAGAAGGATTGCTTACCCTGCCCCGAGGAGGGTAGGTTCGTTCTGAATTTCTTACACCCCCTTTTGGGACTTACCTTCCCCCTCAGAACGAAAGGAGAGGGGGGAGAGCGAAAGAAATGCGATGGTAGATTAACCTTAATCGTCCTCTCTACAGGAATGGTCAGCATGATGAAAAAGGCGTCTCTTCCTTCGTCCAAGGACGGCTGAGTGGCCAAGTTACAGCAGGTACATCCAACCTGGCAGTGGGAGTGGGAGTGGGAGAAGGAGGAACGGGAGTGGGAGCGCGCATGGTCCCATGGCGATTCACCACCGCCATTGGAAAGCGAGGGAGGAACGCTTGGGGAACTCCCTTCAGAGGCGATGCTATCGCTTCTGGTGCCGACGACTGCAGTGGCTTCGGAACCCCCACCAGGAGCCCACTGAGCAAGAGGGAGCGGCGGCGCACAGGTGGTGACGGCCGCAGTTGCTTGGGGGGCAGTCCAGTGGCGAATGCGGGTGTCGCTCACAGCGAGGATGCGCAAGCGGCGGGGGGAGTAAGTGTGGGACCATACCGACCAGATGGAAACTCCCCGGACGCTGTATGTCAAGCGTTGGAGGCCCGGAGCCAGGGAGGAGAGACAACGCGAGCGGCAGCGCAACCTGCATTGGACGAGCAAGAGCACACACCTCGAGGTTTTGCGAGGAGGGCTGAAGAGCAACAGCAAACTCCATGCGAGAACGACTCCTCTTTCCTCGCACACCTGCTCCTCCCGCCACTGCTCACTCTCCCGGCGTCCCCAGTCCCCGTTCCCAACCCCGCTACCACCCTCTGGAACGCCCATCCACGCGTTTCAACAATGGGAGACCCCTTAGACGTGCTCCTTAGGGAACTACAGCCCATGGGCGTGTGGCCCACACGCGCGGTGCCGGCTGGAGTTGCTGCTACAGCCAAGGAGCCGCTACAGAGTGAGACGGAGGCTGAGGCTGATGGGTTGTGGTCGCAGGTGGACTATTACTATGACGCCTCGAGCGGGGACCTCCGGGCTTACATGCAGCGTTGCGATGCCCCCTTCACCCAATATGGTGCGGTGGCGTTTGAGTCGCTTCAGCAGGCTCCACCTTTCAGCGGCGCGGTGGCGTCTGAGCGCTGTGGTCGGACTCTCGCCTGCCAGTATGCGAAAGAGAGCAGGGAAGCGGACGCGGTGGAATGTGGGGCACCAGATAGATGCGTGCTGCCGGGAAGAGGTGGTGACAGGGAGGAGATTGGGGAAGAGGAAGAAGAGGAGGAGGGGGGATATGCGCTGGAGTGGGAGGAAAGGGGCAGGGAGGAAGGAGCAGGCTGGGGAGGTGTTGAGGGAAACGGGGAGGCGGGGAGAGAGCGTGTGGAAGGAGGAATAATGGCGCGTGAGAGAGGAGAGGGATTGCAAGAAGAGGTGACCCGGGTCACGCCGTCTCATGATGCGCAAGGCTCCACCGCCCTAGCTTCTTCTGCTCCTGATGCTGCTGCTGCTTCTGCTGCTGCTGCTCACACTGCCAGTCCAGGGGGAGCCAGGCTTGCAAGTGCAGGAGTCAGCGGGTTGATCCAGGTGCAGACGCCGGTGGTGCCGACGTCCTTCGTGTTCGTGATGCAGGATATGGACGTCAAGTTCACAGACGCTGTTACAGGCGCGGCGAGAGTGGTTACGCCTGCGGGCCATGTGGTAACCACCACGTGTCAGGGATGCTCGGTTCTCGACCGCCTGCTGCACACCAACGGTCAGTCCCCCCTGGCCCTCGCATCTCTCTCCTCTACCCCTCTCACCAACGGTCAGTCCACCCCCCTTGCCCCCAAAGCCAACCCCCCCGCTGTTTCAAAGCCACGCGGCAACCACGTGCCAGTGATGCTTGGTTCTCGACCACCTGCTTCACACCAATGGTCAGTCTTGTACTGACCCCCTTCCCCTTCCCCTTCCCCCCCCCCTTCCCCCTCCCCCCCGCCCTACCCCCTCTCTCTCTTCCCTGTCACCCATGCCGCAGAAGCCATCCCCCACGCTGTTTCAAAACTCCTTGCCCGCCTCTCACTCTCTCCCTCTCCCTCTCCCTCCCCTGCATCTCCCTCTCCCCTCTCCCCCTCTCGCTCCCCCACCTCACCCCCATCACAGGTCTGTACGACACGCGTCTGGAGGTGCACATGGGGCCAGGCAGCGATGCCGACACGCACGCTGTGCTGCTCACGCGCTTCAGCTCGCACGTGCCACACCCACCACCACCGCAGCCACACCCACAGGGACAGCCACCAAGCTTGGTGTCCGTTTCTGGTGCTGGTGGTGCTGGTGCTGGTGCTGGTGGTGCAGATGGTGGTGTTGTTGTTAGAGGTCTGATTGCCACTGGCGGCGCTGGTGCCGTTCCCTTGAGCGATGCAAAGGCGGAGGAGAACCCGACAGCATCGGCCACAGTCGGTGGTGCCTCTGCAGTAACCGGCTCCGGAAACAACATAGCGGCAGCAGCAGCACTAGAGGCGGAGGGAGGGACGAGGAGAGGGGCCGAGAGGAACGGCAGCAGCAGCATGAGCAACGCCGTGTGGAGTGCCACCGGCTGCCACCCCCAGTCCCTGGGCTGTGCTGTGCGCCGCAGCAGCAAGTGCAACAGCAGCAGCGGCACGGGGGGAGCAGGCTTACGGGCAGAAGGGATGATAAACCCGTGCCAGGAGTGGACAGGGAGTGCGGTTGAGGAGGTGGAGGAGGAGGAGGAAGAGGATAAGGGGGAGGAAGAGGAGGAAAGGGGGGAGGAAGAGGAGGAAGGCGAGGGCGGAGAAGGGGAGGAGGAGGGAGACGAGGATGGGGAGGAGGAGGAGGAGGAGGGGATGGGGGCTGCTATGGAGGAGGGGAGTATGGTAGAGCGTCCTAGGGGTGGTTCAGACGCATCAGTGAATATGAAAGGAGGGGGGGGTGGAAATGGGAGTGGCGTGGAGAGGGGCAGCATCGGCAGCAGCACCATTTGCTTCGAGCAGCAGCGACTTGAGTGAGAGCAACCCGGCTAGGGTGTGACCGTTCCCCACGGATGGTCGACGCAAAGAGAAGTTGGGGGATGTGCTGTTGATTGCCATTGCCATTGCCATTGCCATTGCCATTGCCATTGCCATTGCCATTGTGTTCGTTATCCTGGCTTTCTTTCGGCTCAGTCTCTCCAAACCCTTTTACCCTTCATCCATCGTGTAAGTAAAAAGAAAGAAGGAATGTCTTTCTTAGTTCTCCACCCATCTTTCCGAACCGTGTCACAACCCCCCCCCCCCCCCCCCCCCCAGCTCTCCCCCCTCGCAGTCTACCAGTCGACTCCCCCGGCCTTCATCGCTGCATCTGCTGCCGCACTAGGACGCCCTACACCATGCATTGCCTTCGTCCTCTGCCCCCCCTCCTTCACTCCCATATTTCCACCCATCTTTCCATCTTCCTTTCCCTTCCCCCTCCCCTCCCGTTCTGGCAGTCTACCCGACGACTCCCCGGCGTTCATCGCGCATCTGCTACAGCACTACGACGCCCTGCGCCACGCCGACCATGCTATCTCATCCCCTCTGCCCCTTCTCCCCACCCTTCTGTCCACCCGTGTTCCCACTCCCTTCCACTCCCAGTTTACCCGACGACTCCCCGGCCTTCGTCGGCTTCATTCTGTGCCATCACTCCACCAGACCCACCTACTCACCCGTCTTACCACCCACGTCTCCCATCCCCTTCCCCCTCCCCTCCCTCTCCCAGCCTACCCGACGACTCCCCGGCCTTCATCGCGCATCTGCTGCAGCACTACGACGCCCTGCGCCACGCCGACGGCTTCGTCCTGTGCCACCACTCGTTCAGCCCGTCCCTGCACCTCGCGCACTTGCACCCCTTCTTCTCCGACTGCCCCGCCCCCCCGGACCCCTCGGATTGCCCTGCTCCTTCTGCTCCCTCTGGCTTTTCTGGCCCTGCAGCTGCTGGTGGTACGGGAGAGAGGGGTGCTGCTGGTAGGGAATGGGGAGTTGCGTTGCTGAGCGGTGATACGGCGTGCAAGTTTGAGGACGAGGGGGAAAAGGCGGGGAATCGAGACGGGTTGGAGAACGAAGAGGATAGATCGGATGGGGGGGAGTTGCAGCATGGAGCGGCAGCAACAGCAGGGGAGTCCCCCCAATTGACAGGAGGGGCAGAAATGCCAGAAAGACGAGGGGGAAGAGAGGAAGGAGTGACACTGACGTATGATCTGAGGTCTTGGCAGGCGCAATATCCCATGGGCGTGGATGAGGAGTTGGGAGCAGAGTGGCAGGGGTACCAGGCGGCCATATGTGACGATGTCCTGGACATTGATTCCTTCATCGGCCTACACCCGCAGCAGCAGCAGCTGCAGCAGCAGCAGCAGTATCAGCAGCAGTATCAGCAGCAGCAGCAGCAGGAGGAGACTTATCAGCAGCAGCAGCAGGCACCACTGCTGGCCGACCCTTCTGGGTACCACATGACGTCATACCCCTCTCACCAGTCTCACCTCACCGATCTCTCTCGTCCCCCATCGTCTCTACTCACACCTCCTCCCATGCCTCGATGGGGTTCAAGTGCTGCCATGCGGACACTAGCACCAGGAAAAGCACACACTGAAGCAGCAGCAGTAGCAGCAGCAGCAGCAGCAACGGTGCATGTGGGCCCACACTTCAGGGCACAAGCGGCTACAACAACACACTCTGCTGCACAGGCAGCACCACACACCGCACCCCTGCTATATGTAGCACCATTCAATGCAGCACAAACGAGCGCACAGGGGCGCAACGGAGCATCCGTGGTAACACAATTCGTCGTAACACAACCCGTTGTAACACAATCCCTTGTGTCTCCCAGCATAAATGGGGGGGATGTACAAACTAAGTCTGCAGGAAAAGGAAAGGCAGCGGGGCAGGGGCGCGGAAGAGCAAAGGGATCCTTCCATCCGGCAACAGATGCAAGTACCTCTGGCGCCCATCCTGCTGCTTCTGCTTCTGCTGCTGCTCCTGTTTCTGCCGTACCTCTTCCTGTCGCTGCTGCGCACGGTGCTGCCGCTGCTGCTGTGTCTGGTGGTGTGGGCACCGTTACTCGTGGAAAGAAAAGCCGACAGCGTGCGGGTGGTGCCGCTGCTGCTGCTGCTGCCGCTGCTGCTGCTGCTCCTGCTGCTGCTGCTCCTGGATCTGTTGGCGGTGCTGCTGCAATGAAAGAAGGCGTCTTGCACCACCATTCAAGGTCCCATTTTTGCAAGGAGGAAGGGAGTGGAACGTTCACCATGGGGAGGGGTGCACTCCCAACGGTTGTGCCTCTCACCACTCCACCTCCTCCACCTCCTCGTTCCTCTGTGTCTGCTCCTGCCGTCTCAGCTACAGCAGCTTCCGCCTTCCCAGCTTCTCCTGCTGCCTCTGGTGCTGTAGTCACTGCTTTTGGTACCACTGCTACTGCTACTGCTGCCCCTGCTGCTGCTGCTTCTGCTGCTGCCGCTGCTGCTGCTACTGGTGCACGCGGCTCTGCTGCTGGTGCCGGTGGCGTGACAAGGAGTAACGCAGCTGCTCAGGTAACCCCCTGCTTCCCTCTCCCCCCAAGGTCCCCAAGGCCGCCATTGCTCCAACTATCTTCCCAATGCTGCACACCGCATCTCTGCTTATCGTCGCACCTCCCACACACTAACAGAATTTGTATCACACCATTCTTGCCTTAACCCACCTTGATTGCCATCGATTCCCATGCATGTGTGCCGTGCATGTGTGCCGTGCTTGTGTGCCATGCTGTGTGCCATGCTTGTGGCATAAGGAGTTGCCCACCTCATGCTTGTATGCATATACCTCCCCCCCTCTCCTTTCTTCAACCACCTGACCCCCCTCCCAAACCACATGCTTCCCCTCCCAATCCTCCTGCCCGCTCCCATATTCCCCGGGCCAGAGGGAGAAGTCGGGCCGCATTCAGCTGCCTGACCTAGCGAAACATTTCCACCTGCCCATTAACGAGGCTGCCCGGGAGCTGGGCATCTGCCCGACTGTTTTGAAGAAGATCTGCCGGCGCCATGGCATGCGGAGGTGGCCGCATCGCAAGGTGAGAAATCAACCAAGCACTTCAGTGCCCAGGGGCTTGGACCGGTCCAGAATCATCCACGGGATGATTGAGGCATCAGTAGAGACGGCTTTGGAGAAATTTCAAGGGAGTGTTTTGAAGACGATCTGCTGACTCCATGGCATGCGCCAGTGGCCACATCGCAAGGTGAGAAGATGACTTTTGAGTCGACTCAAAAGCCATGCGGTGGTGGCCACATTGCAAGGCAAGAACCAACCCAAGCGCGCTCTGGATTAATTCAGTTTCGAACCATTAGGACACTTCAAAGGGATGTTTGAAAGGCGAATCAAAGAGATGCATTACAGGGTCAGGATGCCCATGCCGATTGGGTGTCATGTGTGCTACATGTATTGTTCTACCTCTATGCTGCTGCCTTCACCCACTATCCCTCTCTTGCATCCATCTACTCTAGCCACCACGTTTCTCTCACTCACACCATCCCCACATGCCCCGTGTGTCGGTTTCTATACATGCTTGGCTTGGAACCCATCTGCTTTTGAGTCCATTCAAATATCCCCCAGGTTGCGTCTCTTCTGTTTCTTGTTTTCTGTCTCTTCGTTTCTGTGTGTCTCAGATCCGCAGCATAGAGCGCATCATAGCAACGCTAGAGGAAACCATCGCGGGAGGAGCACCAGCGGACGAGAGCATCATCCGGGAAATCAAATCCCTCAAGGCGGAGAAGAAGAGGCTCTGCGACGGCCACCTGGGGGACCTATGATCTGCCCTTATACACTATGATGCCACGTCATGCCAGCATACTGGTACTACCATTCGATGGTATCAGCCGCAGTCTATTTGGGTTTGCTTCCAGCGGTTTTTAACGTGAAGCTGGTGGTGTGCGGCGGTTCGTCTGCATGTGGATTGTGCCTTCCTGGATTCATGGATGGCGGGATGTGGCTTCTCTAGAGGGTTGGTGATAAGGCAAGCCATGGCCCTACAGCATAGAGCACTCTTCCCTGCTCACCTTCCCTCTCCCATCTCTTCAAGCATCTCTTTCCTCCTCCACCAACCCCCCGTTCTCTGTATACTTTCGTTCTTTAATGCAGCAGCTAAATTACTCTAGGTAGGAACTAACACCCTCCTGTGGTGTAAGAAAGAGCTCAAACTCAAATGTTGCACGCACTCTCATTATTTGTAGTGTTCAATTGATCAGTCACCACCAAGTGCCAGCCAGCTACAAATGAGCCACACAGGGAGTGGTACAAGGAGTGCGTGTCTGTGCTCCGAAGCACCGGTGCTAGGTCATGTGGGCTTGCTTGCGTGCAAACTGTGCACAGGGCGACTTTTGAGTCGACTCAAAAGTCACCTCGACTCAAAAGTCACCTTATGTGGGCTTGCTTGCGTGCAAACTGTGCACAGGGCGCGCGCATCAGCGTCTGAACGCAGGCCATTATTGAGTGGCATTGAATCTCATCATTAACCTGCATTGAACGACATTGGCCATAAGTGCCTGACAGAGCAACTGAAGAACCACTAGCCTGCCTCGCTGTCATGCTGCCTCGCTGCCTCGCTGCCTCGCTGCCTCGCTGCCTCGCTGCCCTGCCTTCAGCGTGGCGACACCATGTCCACTCCAAACAGCCGCATGCCAGCACCCCCTGCGCCTCCACCTCCAGACGCCCCCATAACTGCAACAGGAGCAGCTGCAGACACAGCCACAGCCGCAGGCACAACAGCAGAGCTGCTACTTGCAGCACCAGCAGCCGCACCAGCAGAAGCAGCAGAAGCTCCGGCTGTTCCCACTGCCAACGCGGACGCTGAAGAAACCGCAGACTCTTCCCTTACTACCATCCCTCCCATCTGCCTCTCCTCCTCTTCCCCCCCTTCCCCCTCCACCCCCTCCACCCCCATTCTCTGAACATCCGCAAGCTTCACATCCTTCCCTTTCTCTCTTCCTCCTCCTCCTCTTCCTCCTCCTCCTCGCATCGCAAACAACCGTCTCCCGTCTCGCCAATCCAAGTCCAGCGTTACGCCCGGACTCAAACCATCCTCTCTCTCTCCATCCTCTCTTTCGTCACCCGCCCATCGTACGCCGTCCCTTGTCCTGTGCTGCTCGCCTCCCACCGCTGGCCGCGTGTCTTCTCCCCTCTCCCCTTCCCTCGCACCGCCCCCCTGCTTCATCTCCCCCTTGCCTTGACCCCACCGTCTGATTGGCTGACTTGACACAGGGCATCTCATCTCCCCTCCCTTCCGTCCTACCCAACCGCCCCGCGTCCCCATTCCACCCCCCCATACTCCCATTCCTCCTCCTCCTCCTCCTCCTCCTCCTCTTCCTCCTTCTCCTCCTCCTATCCCCCCTGCCAAATCTCCTGTACAGTTCGCAGCATTCTCACCCATGCCTACAGCAGCAGCAGCAGCAGCGCCATCAGAACCGCCACCGCCCCACACGTCCAGCGACAGGCTCAAATGCGCACCACCCACACGGCTGCGCTTCACACCCCCCTCCTGCCTCTGCCCCCCCACCCCCCTCTCCCTCCCTTTCTTTCCCCCGAGTCCTCCCTCCTCCACCCCCATCCCGTCACACGCCCCCGCATGCAGTCCTGCCTTGGCAGCCCACGCGCTGTCCTTCTGGCTTCCTCCCCATTCCTTTCGAGGTGTCCCAAAAATCGCTGCATCCCCGGCAGCAGGCAGCCCAGATAGTGCTGCTGCTCCTGCTGCTGCTGCTGCTGCTGCTGCTGCTGCTGCTGCTGCTGCTGCTGCTGCTGCTGCCGCTGCAGATTGGCGACTACCTCCTTTCCCCGAGGCATTCGCAGAATCTACACAAGATTCACCAAGAAGAGCACCAACCCTAGGGTTACTGTTCCTGGCGTCCAGAGCTGCAGTGGGCGAATCAGATCCACGAACGGGTGCTGCTGCTGAGCCTGTTGCTGCCAAACCTGCTGCCGAGCCAGCATCATGACATGCCGCTGAGTGTGGAGCAAAACCCCGAACGAGTGGCAAATCACCTGGCGAACTGGTTCCGAGCCTGTCATTCTCGAGCCTCTCATTCCCGAGCCTGGCGTTCAGCTGCTGCTTGAACCAGAGCGACAGGTTCGATTCGTCCGCTTCCGCATGCGAACGCGACATCTGCTGCTGCTGCTGCTGCTGCTGCTGCTGCTGCTGCTGCTGCTGCTGCTGCTGGAAGAACATTCTAATCAGCTGCTTTTCCCACGACTCGGGTAAAACCCCAGGCACAGGTGACTCGGGCACAGGTGGAGGAGCCGGTAGGTCGTCAAACACGGCCGTTTCGCAAGGACGCTCCACCCTAGGTGACTCGTCGGGAGCGGGATCAGCACAAGGCGGCGGGTTCTTGGGCGTTCCAGGCGTCTTGGGCGTCTTCCCCTTCCCAGGCGTCGCGATTCCAACAGTTTCCGGCAACGGCTTGCCACACCCAAACGGAAACCCTCCGACGGACCCGAACGACCCGAACGACCCGAACGCCGAAGCTCCCAGGAACGCGGAAAGGCTCCCGCCGCCGCCGCCGCCGCCGCCGCCAGCGGCAGTGGCGCCGCCATGGCCCCAGTACTGCCGGCTAGCTCCAGGTGCAGCCGCGCCTGGGACGGAGTCTGGGAGGAAGCCGCCGTTGTTTCCTGCACGGTGCGGAAATCCGCTTCGCTGGCGGTGACCGCCGCCGCCGCCGCCACCGCCGCCACCGCTGTCCGATCGATCTGATCCAACGTCTCGTAAGCTTCGCGTCACGCCCGAGGGGACCTCGTGCGCGTCGCTGATCAGATGATCGGACGGAGGGGAGCAATCGAGCGCCGCGATCCTGTCACGCAAGCCGCGCGGGGATGCCGCCGGGGGCGGCTCTTGAGGCGGCGGCGCCTCGAACGGAGTCGGGGGCGGCGGGAAAGGGTGGGGTCGGCGCAGAAACGACGCGGATGCTTGAGAATCGGAGGCGGTAAACGACGCCGTCGTCATTGCATACCGCAGCGCTGAGAAAGTGGCGGCGCCGCTGCTTCGTTCCGCGATGGCGCCGCGCAGCGCGGCCGCTGCGGAGTTCCGGAGGCTTTGTGTCGGCGCCTCAAACGGCTGCGGGGCCAGCGGCGCAGCTCCGCCGCTCCTCCAGCCCGCGCGCGCACCTGCCGGTGGCGTGGCGGGGGGGGGCTGCGAAAATGCGGAAAGCGCTTGCGCCTGCGCGTACGCCTGCGACTGCTGCGCCAGCGCCTGCCGGTGGCTGCCCTTGTGGCCGCCCAGCGCCTGCGGCTTGTGGAAGCGCGCGCCGCAGATGTCGCACCTGTAGCGCCCTTCCGCCGACGCGGATTTCAGGCCCTCGATCCGAACGGCAGCCCCGCCAGGCCCTACGGCGGCGGGGGCAGCAAGGGGCGGGTTGGCCGCTGTTCCGCGCACCCCTCCCGCTCCCGCTCCGGCGCCTTCCGCTTCACCGGCGCCTCTCAGCGCTTCCGCCGTCGATTCTTGCGGCGGCTCGAGATCCGACGGAGTCAGCGGCACGCGGCGGCGCGGCGCCGCTGTTTGCACAGCTCCGCTCTTGTCGCGAATGTCTTTCCGCGGGGACTGCGGCGGCTGTAAGTGCGACGCGCGCTGCGACTGAATGGCGCTTCGAGGGCTGAAGGCGTTTCGAGAGCTGACGGCGTTTCGAGACGCCGCGGAAGTTCGCGGAATGAGTCGCGGAGAGCTGTTGGTCCCCGGCTGCGCGACTACTTGGGGGAAGGCGGCGGCATCGCAGGGATCGAGCGAATCGCGCGCGCGGTGCGCTGAGCTCTCCGCGGGGGTTGAGGGCTCTCCGCGCACCCCCCCGGGCGAAGGGGGCGGAGAGGGGAGGCGCCGATGAAGGCGCTCGATAGGGGAGGGCAGGGAGGAGGAGGGTAACGTTTCCGTTTCCCACGGCAATTTCTCTCCCGCACGTGCCACGTTTCTGCCGCCGCCGCCGACACCGCCGCCGCCGCGACCGCCGCAACGGCCACCGCCTTCATCGCTGTTGTGGCGCCCGTAGCAGCTGCTAACGTCGGCCGCGGCGGCGTCCCCCCCGCCTTGCGCCCGCGTCTCCGCCGCCGTCGCGGGGGTAGTATCCCAAATCCGATTCCCGAGAAACTGGCTCTCTAAACCCTCTGCTGCGAGGAGCTGGCGGAAGTGGCGCAGATCCAGCTCTCCACGCGCGCGCGTGGAGATCGTTGCGCATCCCTCCGTTACTGATGCGAAGGCGGAAGCGAGATCCAGATGCCGGGAGAGCCGGGGGAAGCGGTGCACGTCGAACGGGTGGTGGTGTTGCGCCGACGGCGCGTTACTGTTACTGGCAGCACGGCTGGCGTTGCCAAGAATCTCGATAACGCCCGTACCAGGAGTGATACTATCGGGATCTATTTTGGCCGATTTCGGGGTGACTGAACTGCATAATGAACCGAACCCGTGCTGGTCGGCGTCATTCATTAACGCTTTCTCGTTGGACAGCATGCTACGGCGCTTACCAGCACTCCGAGTCGCCCCCCCGACGCGACTCGCGCGGATAGCGGTAGTAGGAGCACTGGCGTTCGTGCTGACGCTGCCGTTGCTTGCGCTTTGACGGGAACCTAGGAGACTGCCTATGGTGTCTAGATACTGCTCGCGAGACGGGTGGCCCGCCATGAGTGATCTCTAACCTACTTATAAGCCTAGTACTGCTCCCTCAAGAGCGTAGCGGTGCACGGTGACTGAGCGATGGCACACGGCGGGGTGCGGGGCGGCAAGATGGAGCTTTACTTCATGATGCGGTCGACATCCTGATCAAAGACGCACCGCCCTTGCCAGGAAATCCGCGCCGCTAGTTGTCTATGGCGGAAATTCAACAGGCGTGACATACTCGGTGTCTGGGGCAAGAAAAGAGGGAGGGAAGACGCAGGAACACCAATTGGCCATTTTCTAGCAACGGCGTCATTTCATATCAGATCGAAAACCGATACCGCAGCGGGAGGAAGACCAGCAGTGCTCAGTTGTCCTGGTTTGATCAAAGCTGGCTTGCAAGACGGAGGGAGAGGGGTCGGTTCGAAGAGGACTTGTGTCTGGAGGCTCGCGTGCAGTCCTGGAATCTTGGGGATAAACTTCTCCACTGGATCCACTTGAGTATTTTCAAGCTCTGGAACCGAAGCGAAGCAAAGTCGGGTCGCGGGGGTAATGGTGAAACGAGGATGTACACCTAGCCCGCGATATTTTCACACCCAGTATTTTCAAAGGGGGTATTGAATAGAGGGTATTTACCCCCCGAAAGCAGCTCCTAAAGACCAGATACGGATACCCTTGAAAAATAATTTTAACTTGGGTTTCTATACGAAACGTTTACTGCTCAATGTAAACGTTATCGAGTCAGGAAACCCGACTTGAGCTTAGGCAGTGCTAAAAGTTTTTGCCCGCGTGGAGTCTGCCAAGCTTAGGCCGTAGGAACAAGGGATACTGTCTACGCACTAAGAAATGATCAGGGTGGAATCGAAAATTCTTCTGCCGCCCAGATTCAGGGTGTGAAACTACTATTGTACTGTAAAGAACATAACAGCCTGCTGCTTTTGTTGGAGCAAATGAACGCTGACCGGACCAGGGGGGAGGGAGGGAAGTGGGGTGGGGTGGTGGAGAGACTGGAGTGCAGTGGAACACCACCACGCGTGGTCGGCGAGTGCCTTGCGGTGGGTTGCAGAACAGTGCGACTGTAACGAGAGAAATCTCTGCGACCCATGCTTTTGAGGGGCGGGTGGGGCACTCATCAGTGTCAGAATGATTACCCAAATAATTCAAGGATTGCAGAGTAAATTGTTCGATAACATTCTGATTTTACGCATTCATCATTTAGGCACCCGTTCATGGACAGTCAGAGACCCGCCAGACTGGTGCAGCAGTCTCTCCGAGCAAAGCCCCAAGTCTGCTCCTCAAAACCAGCCCAAAAAAGAACATCCAAAGGCCCGCGTTTAACGAGGACTGCAAGCTGTTTCGTTGCACTTTCTGTAGTTCATTGCAAAGGCTTCCGTCTGCAAGAGGGTGTCTGGTAGAAATCCCTGCTTATGTAGATCAGGCTGATACGATAGCCTGCAAAATCAGTAAACGTTCTGATACCCAGCCTGGAAGCTCGGATTCCGCAGGGAGACCCCATTGGAGATCGAGGGCCCTGCTGTAAGGGACTTGGATTCGGGTGGTCAGATTGAGCGCTGAGAAATCTTCAGTAGCTTTCTAACACAAGCAGCCTGCAAAAACGGACACAAACAAGGACATTCGTTCTTAGTCGAATTTGCCCAGGGCACGGATGTTGTGGAAGCAGCGAAGACCCTTGATTCGGGAATTCCGTACTGTAGAGCGCCAAATCCCTTCAACACCAGAAGAGGAGGCGGCCAATGCGACAAGTTCCCCTGACCCCATCCGAGGTCGAACGATAAAATTTCACATGACAGCTGAGAAAAGTATCTGCATTTGCAATGATTAATTGAAACCTATAGCCAATCGCCTTTGCCAACAACTGGGCTCCTCCGAGTGGTGCTGCCATGGCATTCCAACCTTCATTTGAAGAATTTCCTGGAGTCGGTGTTGCCATTTTATCCCACGCGTCACTCGATAGCTTGGCTAAAATAGTAATTCTCCTTAATTTCAAGAAATTATGAGTTGTTCCCTACCTGATTCCCGATTTTTTTCACAGTAATGCTTTCTTGATTACGTCTTTCTAAAGGATACTTTTCGTGTGATTCCTTGAGACTACGGGTACTCTTCTTTGATTCCGTACGAAGTGCACATGTGGTAGGAGATCCGCTGACTTTGCTTACTTGGGTGCAGACTATCGAGTCTTTCGGGTTTTAACGTAGCTAGTCCTTCTACTTGTAAGTTCTTAAACTACATTGCTTGGTCTCTTCTCTAATGTATCTTTGTACATAAAGAAGTAGGAGATCTGATCGTAGAGGTCTTAAACCCCTTCCTAAGCTCCCAGTTTCCCCAACTTCCTCCGCTAAGCAATGAGAGAGGTTAGTTAGCGGGAACTTTTTGGACTCTTCCAAAACGCTCGAGACTTGTTATGTGCGAGAAAGAGTTCCTGGGGGTTCTGGGGCTTTTTCTTAGCCGTGGAAGGCCATGTGTCTTCGACGAATCCGTATGCTAACTGGTAATTTTCCGCCGATTCCGTAGGCTAACGGGTAATTTTGGGGCCCATTCCGTGACCTAGCGGAATACCCTAGGGCTAGCGAAAGCCCTGCTCGATAGATACCACACGGAAATGTGTGGATCAGGAAATCCTTGAACTGAACTGTACACCAGAATAAGCAGCGCCCACCATGATATCATTGCGTTGCGTTGTCAGGGTTTGACACAAACAGTCCTAAAACAATCGGTACAATATACTTTCTGCCCTATGACAAACGACATAAGCATCGTTCCTTGAAATTGCAGTTACATAACACATGTTGCTCCACATCACACATGTTTTAGTATTGCCCGGATGAGGAAATTGTATAGCTGTCGTCAGCTGCGTTGGACCCAGTGCCCATGACGTGTGGGCCCACAACTCCCGGGGTCATTGATGACACGACAAAATTTGTTGCTGCGCTGGCATTCAACACCTTGTGATTGGCGCAGGAAACTGAATCATAATTCATTTGTACATAACGTACAGTTCACCGTAAATCTCTTTTGTCTCAAATCACGAAGCCTTAAAAAGCGGATACAGTCATTGCCAAGATCGGCTTATTATCACATTGTGAACCTAAATCAAATATGGCTTAAGTGTGGGAAAAACTGTTAAAGTGAGAACTGAATGATAGACTAGAAGTGGAAACCTAGAACAAATACTAGTTGGTTGTACTCACTAGAAGCATACCTCAGTCTAGCCTATAACTTCTACATAGCTAATATGTATAATTTGACACACCCCCTAGGCTAGACAAGGGGTGAAGCTTAGCAAGAAGCAAACAGCTCAGGGCGGCACTACTAGTCCAACCACTGAGGCAGGGGTCTGGAGACCAGTCAGCAAGAATACAAACAAAACTAAAGCAAGCCAGGGCTGCACTACTAGTCCAGCCACTAGAGGTAAGGCCACAAGGCCAGTCTAACTGGCATATATAATAGAGAGTACACAATCAGGATCCTAACAGGGGAGTAGCTACAGGAACAAGACCAAGCTGTACACAGTGCCGCTGATGATCTTTAGGCGCAAGCGTCTTAGTAAAGATATCAGCCGTGTTGGCACCTCAGCCAAGTGAACTACGCGGGCCTGGCGGCGCTGCTGTAGCTCGCGCATGAGGAAGTACCGCAGCTGGATATGCTTCGCTCTGCCCTCAAGCCGAGGCTCCTGACACAGGAGTATCATGGCCCTGTTGTCAACGTACAGGACCGGGGCAGAGCTAGGCCGCTCACCTAAGTTTGTGAGCAAGAAGGACAGCCAGCGGAGCTCCTGTCTACCATGGCACCAGCGTAGATCTCAGCCTCACAGCTAGACTGAACCACGGACGACGAGCGAGTGGATCTCCAAGAGATAGCACCCGAAGCAAGGCTGAAACAGTAGCCCTATGACGACCTGAGCGTCTCAGATTCGTCTGCCCAAGAAGCGTCTGTGTGCCCAGTAAGGACCACTGGCCTGCATCCTCCTAGCACTAACCCCATGCCCGATGTACTAGCAAGATAACGCAAAACCCTCTTAGCGGCAGACCAGTGCTGAGGTCGGTGTCTGCCTGTAGCCACAAAGCGAGCCAGGATGCTAAGAGGGTATGCGAAATTGGGGCGAGTGCAAGTCATCAGGTACATGAGGCAACCCACTAGCTCTGCGTAGGGGCGACTGAGCTCTACTGACTCCTCAGGAACGGGAGCGGAGAGCCCATGGTCTACAGGTAGAGGTGTGGGCTAGGCGGAGGAGAACTGAAGACCGAACCTCTGAAGGACCTGACGCACCAAGTGTGACTGTGTCAGAGTGATGGTGCGTGCTGCTCTGTCCCTAGAGATCTGCAGGCCAAGATAGCGACGCAGCTCTCCAAGGTCAGTGCAGGTTTGTCTCTTCAGAAGCTCGGCCTTCATAGAGGCCGGTGCATCCCTCTCAGCAGTAGCGAAGACCAGATCATCTACGTAGACAAGGATGTAGAACGGAGTCTGGCCGAAACGCACAAGCAACGAGGGGTCAGGAGAGGACGGAAAGAACTGCAAGTCTACTAGCGTGGCCCGCAGCGTGTCGTGCCACTCGCGAGGAGCCTAACGCAGGCTGTAAACCGGGCGCCTGAGAAGCCACTTGGTCCCAGGGGGGAAGGTACCAGTGAAGCCCTGTGGTCGGCGCAGGTAGACCTGCTCGTGTAGGCTGCCCTGAAGAAAGGCAGTAGAGAAGCCGAGGGAGTGAAGCTCGTAGTCGCGCTGTGCTGCTACGTGTAGCAGCGCCCGAAGAGTGGTCATCTTCGGGGTCGGCGCGAAGGTCTGGAAGAAGTCAACCCCCTATCGCTGACTGAAACCTTTGGCCACGTAGCGCGCCTTGAGACTGGCGGCTCTCCAGGGGGGTGCTTCACCTTGAAGAGCCACCGGCCATCGACTACGTTCACCCCAGGCTGGGGAACTGCGTCGACGTAAGTGCCGGTGGACCTCCAAGATGCCATCTCCTGCTCCATGGCAGCTATCCACTGAGAGGCCCAAGGTCCCGAGGTGGCCTCAGTGTAGGTGCGAGGGGTCGGGATGACGAAGGCGTCTGGGTCACCCTCAGGGACTAACAGCATGGAGCAGAGATGGGGAGCAGCCTCGGAAAGGAAAGCCAGCTCGTACTGCCTGTCCTCTAGGACGTCACTGCCAAGGGCAGGAGCACCCCCGACGGACAGAGGACGGGCAGGGTCAGAGACCAGAGCGGTGGCGTAGTCAAGGCGGCGGGTAGAGGCGAAGTCAGCGACAGCAGCGACAAGCGCG